CCGGAAGCTTCCACCCCCTTTTATACTAGCTTGTCGCGGACCGTCTCCGCGAAAACTACCCCCATAAAAGTTGACGACTTAAATCGCGGGGCGTATGCCTCGTCAAGGGGTAGGAGAATTTCTGAATATTACTGCGCAAATACTTGCAATACTTTTCAATGTATTCTAAGCTAGTTGTTTCATTTTAAGGAAAAAAATTAATGAAATATTTAATTGTCGGACTGATAGAAGATAACTAAAAAATTGCGAGATAAAATATAATTAAAAAATTTCAAGAATATAATACGATACAATACGCAAAATTATAGTTATTTATAAATAATTGATATATTATATTAGAATATTCTCTAATGACTCTGTAAATTATTATAAAATAAGATGTAATTTTTTAAATATTTTATTATTATCATATCTTTAATAGAATAACTATTTATATAAAACTTATTCTCTATTTTATCAATTCCCGCAATTTTTCCGAAATTAAAATTGCATTATTTTCTTTCAAGATTTTAATATTTAATTGAAATGTATTATATTCCTAATTATTGATTAATGTGTTAATATAATCATTAATAAAATACTGGTTAAAATATTATATATATATATATATATATATACATATATATATATATATATATATACATATATATATATATATATATATATATATATATATACATATATATATATATATATATAGATATGAAATTATTATTAAGAATTAATCACGAATATTAATCATTATATTATCAAGAATTAATCATTGCACATACACACAATAAAATTTCAAAGTGACAAATTAAAACCATCAACAGTTAAATTAAAAAACAATCTCATGAGTTTTTTTTAAAGAACGCAATCCAACGAGACGACTTTACAGTCGTCATCTCATGGAAGACTTTTCCAACGGAATCGTCGTGAAAGACATTCGATTACGATTTCGCGGGACTTTATCATCGCCGTCCATAAATTCTGGGCTCGCGCAAAAGCAATCTGCGCCGGCGGTGATCCTAATAACCGTGCGGCCATTCGTTCGCCCGGGAGAGTGAGTCGTAATCCTAACCGAAAGACACTCGGCGGAAAAGAAGACGGAAAAAGGAGCGCCCGAAGTGGCCGTAATGAAGTAGATCGAGATAAATATGGAAAGGGGACTTAAAGTAAATGGCGATCTCGGTCGTGGATCCTGCTTCAATATGCTTGAAAGTGTGTCTCGCTGACGTGGCGTTTCCGGAAATGAACGTTCGATTGATTAGTCCAACGCGGACGATTAATGAGAATACACAGAGTCTTGTTATTACTTTCGAAAATCGCGATGTATGTAAAATCACTCGTGATTAAAATAATTAACTTGCCTCTCGTATTAATAAAATATAAAAAAATATCAAGTACGAGAAAATTAAAAAATGTATAAAATAACAATTACATTTTGATTATAATTTTTTTCGGTGGCTCCAATTTCTAAACAAATGCTTTTAAATAAATATCGATGTCGTTTCTCAGTATTAAGGCGTCTGGGCTTTTGCGGCTAATATGACCGATGTATGTATGAGGTCTCGATATATGTAAGGGACAGGGGTGCATAAATATGTGCGTATGCGTCACCGCGCGCATAAGTGCCGATGAGGGGATTTGTAAATGATCTTAACGTTTCGCGTCAATCACTTGCGTCGTTCCGACACGCACGAGCACGTAACATCATACAGAAAATTGGAAGGTTTCGACTTTCAAAAGGGTTTTGTTAATCGATCGGAGGATACGTAACTCAATTTCTCTATTCCATGAATATTTCACGGAAATGGGTAAAATAAACAATAAATTTTTACTCATATATTTTCTTAAAAAATTACAAAAAAATTTTTTGTATTATAAACAAATCTTGCAAACGTATGAGATTTGATTTGAAGAATAATAAAAAACATATAATTTGGCTTATAAAATTATTGTAATTTTTGTCTTTTAATTATATTGTTAAAAATTATTTTCAAAATCATACTTTTCGAATTACATTGTTACCATAAATTAATTGATTAGTATTTATTACAGAAACATCCGTATTTTTCCAGCAAATATTTTGATCAAGAGAAAAAAGAATCACGCGCGATGCGACTCGAAGGATCTACGAGGATCCAGGAGGAGAAGTATATCGCTTCGATGATATATGTGTACCGGGGATACGTTACACGGTATAAGGTAAAGTTCTCTCAAGACGCCGGAAAGCGCGCGCAAAAAGAATCTTTCGGAAGACGTTGCGGCGGCGGCGAGAAGGGGCGAAATTACGTCAAAAGTCTCGAGAATTTATCGGAGCACTTTTTAAACTCCGCCTTCGCGCGATTAGCATATTATTTCTATGGAAGCCGAGTGCGCGAACAGACGAAAAGAGAGAGAAAGGGAGTGCGCGCTCTCGCGATGCGGTTCTCCTCTATATCGGGCTAGAAAGGGAGATAGGTGTGGGGAGCATATCAAATATGTTGATAAATGATCCCTTTGAGCGATGAATAGGCGGCGTCGGGTTCGTACGTATCCTTTTTCGTCGTCGGCGACGGCCAACATTTGAATGTCAGAAGGAACGCCGCAACGCGCCCGTTTGGCGTTTCTCTCGATCCTTCGCACCCCGCCGAAGTAAAGTCAAAATCACACACGAGCACGTCGTGGATCCCCGTCTCGTCGCGAACACTCGGGCGGAACGAAACGCGAGGAATTACGCAAATAGATATCCGTGATGCAAAACTCCGCCGAATTTTATATGGAACAACGAAATTGCTCTTTCCACTATTTCCATCATTCTGGGAAATATTATTGTCTCGACGATTAATTGTAATATCCTAATAATTCCATAATTGATAAACCAATTTATTACTATAGATATGTGAAAATAAAAAGAACAAAGTAATATATAATTAAATACATATATTAAATATATAATATAATCATTTGAAAATCTTTATATCATGTTTGAATGTAACATTACATATAAAGTAACATTACATATAAAGTGATATTTTTTCAAAGATAATTGAATAAGAAATATAATGTAGTAAGTGAAATAATTCGTTATTTTTAAAATATAAAAAATTATTATAATATATTCGAATATTTTTCCGCAAGAAAAAAAATATTAAATTCTTTTGATCTAAAAATTCCCGCGAGAATTTCAGAAAAGACCGGAAGTCGATTCACGTTGGGTACTGATGCAAAACAGCCGTATTTCCGTTTCGCCAATCAGTTCTGACCATTCTCGCCCTTTGATAATTTGCATACAATCAGTCGATGGGTACAAAAGATAGTGACAGTTTCGAATTTTTGGCTCGAAATATATATTAAAATACATTGATGCGCGTTACGCCTAGCGAATTAAACGCATATTTTAATAATTATAACTGTTAACAGATTTTACACGATATTCGCTTTTCCGCGCGTTGGAAACGTAAATGCGTGAGAGATTAATATTCAGAATTTAATTAACATAATAAAAGGAATATTGCGGAAATTCGATGAAAATAATATAAATGTGCGCAAGCGAACCTCTGCGAGATTCTGCTAAACTAATTCGTGTTGCAAAAAAATATGTATACGCATGTAATTTCGTTGATATTAATTTCCTACCACAAAACTTATTGTATATCATATAATATATGGAAATGTGCATAATTATATATCAAATGTAGAATAGATATAGAAAAAAAATATCTTATTCATTTGTGCACAGCATTATATTTTAATAACAAACATCTTAATTTGAAATTACTTTTTGCTTAGAGAAAATATCATAAGATATCAGTGTCGCAAAATATATAGTAACTATCTCTGTCCTATTATAAATATATTAAATTCCCTCTCTAAATCTTTCAAAAAAATCAAATAGAAATTTTTGTCATTTAATTTATTTTCTTAAAGTTTAAAGATATTTTACTTTAAATTGACTAAAAATATTATTATATAATAATACGATGGAAGTGTGTGATATATATATTTTTATATAATATATATTACTATATAACAAAAATATATTATACACATCATATTATATAGTATATACATATCATATTATGTATGCATATGTATGTATAATAAGAATATATTGCATTATTTTCTCTTCGATATTTTACTATAGTTATGCTCTTCCTACACACATATATTATATATTTTTTAAATTATAAAACATTTGTAAAGAATTAATTTTTTTAAATAAATAAAATCAAATATGAATAATATAAGAATTTGTATATCAGCATATATAATATCAACATAGAAATATGGGAAAAATATCGATATGATATAAATAATCTCTTTACTAATGAACAAATATAGCTATACGTAATTAATTTTTTTTAACATATGAATACATGTTATTGATCAAATATTTTTATAATCTTTTTTAAAATATCAAAATACTTTTCATGATATCATAAATACTTGTTAACTTTTAATACATATATACTTGTTAACTTTTATTAAAATATATTTAAAATATACAATATCTATAAATTATCGGTATTCAAAGCGAACGTTATTATCGACGATTAAAAAAGTCGATTTCCAAGAAATATATCAACTGCAGATAAGTTAGTCTGCACTTCGTAATTTATTTACCGACAGTTACTCACTAACTAATGACGGTTCAAAAAACGATTAACTTGCGATTCCCGCCAATTTGAAGCTCCTCCATATTTTAATAAGAAAATTTCACGCTTGCGAGTCAGTCAATAAATATAAAATAATTCAAATAGTACATACTTTCTATTACTTTTATATATATACTTTTATATATATTAAATAATTATAATATCATGAATGTTACTACATACATATAAATACATAAAAAATATAAAATCGAGAACACTCACTGATTCCATCTCAACAGCCGCAACGTAAAATGCTGGTGTCAGCCTATGATATAACTCCAGGCGCTCGATGCAGTTTCGCTCTCCTTATCGATCCGATGCTTTAAATAAAGAAACTTCCAACTTACACGTTCAAGAGAATCGGTCGACGTGTACACAGTTGAAAATAGACGCGACGATACGTCAGCGACGATAGCCGCCGACTATTTTCGAACAACGGTCTCTCAGCACTCCCGGAATCGTGACTCCGCACACGCATCACGACTAAGGAATCGCGAGCATCCGGTGCCCAGATCGCTTCCTTTCGTTGCCGGATCGCGACGCCGACTCTTCGAGACGCCGATTCAAGGCGGAAACTTCGATCAAAGATCGCCGCTTACGTACGTAGAAAAATAGCGAAACAATATCGCGCGATCGGCGATAACGAAAGCACACGCGAGAAAATATATCCGATACACATTCACGACGAACATACACGACTTTTAACACGATTTTTGGATCGCTTTTGTACGCGACGCGAACGAAAATTGCTCTGTGCGATGTAGTGACGTATAACTGGAAACGTGAAAAAATGATAACGTCAGACTATCCGTTAATTCGCGCGAAAAGGAGTAACTTCAAGAAGATCGATTATCGCGCACGCGTGGCGCGCATTCGAACCGGTAATATGTATATACAAACGCATATTGTTTATTATGAAAAATTTTAATCTCTTATTTTCTTTTCGTTAATTTCAAAGATTTCAGATTTACGTTTTTTTTAGTACATTTATTTAGTAAAAATTAAAAAGACGCGCTGAATAGAAAAATAAACCATTTAATAAATATAATAAAATCCCATATAATAAATTCTTAGGGCATATTGCGTGAATGCGCGCGCATATGTGCGTGTAATCATAAAATAACTAAAATAACTAAAATTAAAATATATAGAAAAAATAGAGAAAATACTCTTCGACATAAACAACATTTTTTCTCTTAAATAACATTTTACGAACAATTTCTCAGAAATAATCGTTGCTCTTAAACATATATAAAAATTTTCCCCGTGTAATCGTCGCCATGCGTACATAAAATGGAAAGTAATCGATAATATCCGCCGTGAGCCGTGATATTAAACATCAGTCGAACAACGGATGTGGAGCCGTGTGACACTCGTCGAAGTCAATCGTTCCGAATCGACGAAGTGAGGTTATGCATCGCCGTTGTTTATAAGCGTGCATTATTTTTAGTCGCTCTTTCGAGAGACACTCGATGATGGCTCGAGCACACGTTGCTCTGCTCCTCGTCGCCGCATCGCTGCCGATTTTCGGTGACACCGCCTCCGCTCACATTCATATGCATAATCACAAGCTCGACAGAAATGAAAGGATAGAAGACGGGGCCTTCGGCTCCCGCGACGCCGATCATTACGTGGATGGCGAGCATCATCATGAGTTCGATCACGAAGCTATTCTAGGTGATTATAGTTTTTAGGATTAAATCTATATTTTTTTTTATTTTATTACTATTTATTTACATCTCATCAAGACTTCAAAGTTCCAAACTGTACGCTAGTATAATTTCATTGTAACTTCTATGAACAGTTAATTTGTTTAAAAGAAAAAATAATCATATCTGTGATATGTATAAATTATTCATTCCCCTTTAAATTAAATTTACTCCTTTTGAAGGTATATTTTGAATGTCTTATTTTCTGTTAAAGGAAGTACGAAAGAAGCGGAAGAATTTGATAAACTCCCAATAGAAGAATCTAAAAGGAGATTAGGAATTTTACTTACTAAGATGGATTTGAATAATGACAAATATATAGAGAGAAATGAGTTAAAAGCCTGGATCTTGCGTTCTTTCAGGTAAAATTACTTGTGTCAATAACCTTATCGAATTATTGAAAGAAAAATTAATAAATTTTGCAAACAGTATGCTGTCTGCAGAAGAATCTCAAGATCGCTTAGATGAAGCTGATATAGATGGAGATGACAAAGTGACCTGGGATGAAATCCTGCAGGATACTTATGGCAACAATCCTGAAGATTTAAGTTTTGATGATAAATTTATCCTAAATGACAGAGAGATATTTGAAGCTGCAGATTTAAACAAAGATGGTTATTTGGATTCGGAGGAATTCAAAGCTTATACACATTCTGAGGAGACACCTAGAATGTTCCCCTTATTGTTGAAGCAAGCTTTGGAAGACAAAGACACAGATGAAAATGGATACATTAATTTTCAGGAATATGTCGGTGAAAGAGCCAAATCTAAGGATAAAGAATGGTTATTATCAGAAAAAGATAAATTTGATTATGAACATGATAAAAACAGAGATGGTAGATTGGATGCGGATGAAATTCTTTCTTGGCTTGTTCCAAGTAATGAGTGAGTATATTGTAACACATATAATATTTTAAAATTCTATTACAATAAATTTTCAAATTAAATATGAAATGCATCTTATTGCTTCAAATAATCTCATATAATAATAGATTCAAACTTAATAAATGTTAATATAATGTAAATTTCTATTCATATTTATATTAATTTTATAATAATTTATATTCCAAGATTATGATAGACTTTTATTATTTTTGTGTATATTGAAGCTCATATTTACTAAAAATGAATGAATTTTTTGTAGCAGAGAATTTAAATAAATTGGCAAACTTTATCCTGTAAACATTCACAATAACGAAATATCGCTTTTATATTTTCTTATCTATTTATTTCAGAGAAATAGCAAACGACGAGGTGGACCATTTATTTGCAGGTTCCGATGATGATCACGATAATAGATTATCATTCGAAGAAATATTGGACCATCATGATGCTTTTGTAGGTAGCGAAGCAACAGATTATGGTGACCATTTGCAAGATATCGAGCGTTTCACCGACGAACTTTGAGAGTCGTTGATCGATTGGACTGATAATATGGATATTATCTTTTGTAATATTCATTAGGCATATTCATTTCCAACTGAAAGTATTTTTAATACACTACTCATAACGATAATATTATTTTATTAATTATGTCTTTAAGGAATCCTATGAGCAATATCTCCAAATTTTAAATTAGTATTTAAAATAATTAAAAAACTATTGTATTTAAACGAAAATATATTTACATATTTGCAAGATGTACGTTAAGTTGTGCATTAAAAAAATATTTAGAATTGCAGATCTCTACTAGATCTCTTATATACACATGTTTATTTAAAAAATATTCTAATCGTTTTGAGCAGTGTATTTCTCAATGCATCTCCATTTAGTCTTTCTATCTATTTTCAATCTATTTTCAATCTATTTTCTATTTATTTTTAATTTTTATTTATGTAATCATTAGAACAAATTTATATTAATGATAAGGGAGAGATACAAACATGATTCATGTTATGATTCACAATAGTGGAGTATTACTATCGTCTTCCAATTTTTACCAAACATGAGTGCCATATTAGACAAGAAAAACAAATTAAAACAAAAAAATATGTATTTCTCATTACAATACATAGAATTAAGTTTAAATCTCCCACCAATGTTATATTATGCTGTATATATTACATGTAGGGTAAAATTTGTTTGAATTCACAAAGAATTAATGTAATTTTTATAGTATTACTTTAGATTTACTTATTTGAGAATGTGTGCATTATATATGTGTATCTATAAAATATAAATTTTTGTCGAGTGATGCATGATCGATTTTTAATAAAATAATTTAACAATTTCACATATTTTTATCAATCTCTAAAGAAATATGTATTTTTTTCTATAACTGTATGAAATATTGGGCACATAAATACATTCATATACATATATATATATATAAAGAGAGAGAGAGGACTACAAAACTTATTTATATTAAAAATTTATTTATGTGTATAAGTGCTTTGCTATATAACACGGAACAGAACCAGAAATTGTGCACATTATATGTTACCCTCTGAGAACATTCGTGGCTTCGTAGTTTAGGTTTATGTTTTTAATGTCCACAGAGAGCGTATCACTTATCACTTTTAGAAATTCATTACATACAGATTATAAGAGAGGTGGTAAGAAGAGAAGATTTTATTATTATTATTACTGTAAATAAAAAATTGTTTTAATTACAACATAAGATGCCATATGCTAATCAACCGTCGGTTCATATCTCGGATTTAACTGAAGAAAATGTTAAATTTCAAGTGGAAGATACGGAATTGAGGTGAGATAGATGAGGTTAGAAAGATATAAATGTAAAAAAAATATAGCTTCAATTAATTTATAATTAACGTTTCCATATCAGTGTTGCAAATAGCATGAGACGTGTCTTCATTGCTGAAACTCCGACTATGGCCATAGATTGGATACAATTAGAAGCCAATTCTACTGTTTTGAGCGATGAATTCTTAGCACATCGGATTGGGATGATACCTTTGATTAGTGATGATGTATGTAAACACATATATCAATGATCTTCTTTATCAAAAATTAAAGACTTTTTCTCGAATCTTGATATGCTTTAGGTGATTAAAAAAATGAAAATTAAGCACTTGAATAAATCATGTACTTATAATGCAAAATAATAAAACTTTATTTTTCAACTGTCATCCAATAAGACATTGCTAAATAACTTAAGTGATACAATTTAATTGACTAAGAATAATTTCCTTGCATAGGTGGTCGACAGGATACAATTCACAAGAGATTGTCAGTGTATGGATTTCTGTCCAGAATGTAGCGTTGAATTCACACTAGATGTTAAGTGTATTGAAGACCAAACCAGACATGTAACTACTGCAGATTTCAAGTCCAGTGATCCTAGAGTGTTACCTGTCACATCCAGACACAGGGAAGATGATGCAAGCGAATATGGAGAGACTGATGGTTTGTGCACCTTTATTATGTATCTGTTTGTGTGCTAATGATTATATTTAAAAAAAAAGAGGAAAATATAACTCATACTATTGTATATGAAATCTTTTAGAAATATTAATAGTAAAATTAAGAAAGGGACAAGAGTTGAAACTTAGAGCATATGCAAAGAAAGGTTTTGGAAAGGAACATGCCAAATGGAATCCAACTGCTGGTGTAAGTTTTGAGTACGATCCGGATAATGCTATGAGGCATACTTTGTATCCTAAACCAGACGAGTGGCCTAAGTCAGAATACACTGAATTAGAAGAGGACCAATGTGAGTAGTGAAACATTCATAATTTTTTAAAGAGAGTTACATTATAATTGTATATATTACAATGTACATTTTAGATGAAGCGCCATTTAACTGGGAAGCCAAACCAAACAAATATTACTTCAATGTAGAAAGCAGTGGTGCATTAAAACCTGAGAATATCGTTATGATGGGAATTGCGGCGTTAAAAAACAAATTATCCAATCTGCAGACACAATTAAGTCACGAAGTACAAAGCGATGCATTAAGCATTCATCATTAAATAAATTTTAATCTTAGATATAATCTTTTTTCATATATAACAAAATAAAAAAATTGCAATATATTATTTCGTGTTGATTTTAATATAATTTCGTCAAAATTATGTAAGCAATATAATTTTAATATTATATTCACCGTAAAAATTTATCGAACTCGCTGATTGATTACATTAATTATTTAGATAATTTTGATAGCACTAAAAAATATATTCGATGGCTATGCCATATTGTTGCCATCTTAAATAAAATATATTTCGGCCAATAAGATTCCATGCTCTTTAATGGTGTCAACAATATGGCGTAATCTAAAATAATAATGATTGAACTGTCTTCAGTAATTTCTTATTCAATGCCTTAAGCTCATATCACACTAAGCATTGGAGATTAAAATTTGACCAATTAAAGTCGAGAAATTGTAAGTCTTTTGCTTTGATTAGTCAAATATCAACCTTTTATTTTCAATCTTCATTTGCATAGGTATGCGTGCGAATGAGGGATTACATGCGTGAGTACGCATCTTTACACAGTAAGAGTACACACTGACTTGTGCTCCTGTTATGCTATAATAGAATTACGCCTCTAATTAGTTATGCGGTACGCGTTACGCGGAAAATATCAGTCAATGGGTCTGTTTTTTTCAGCTGCACTGCTACGCTAGTGCAATTAGTTAGAGTGAAAGAAAGTATGTTTGTCTCTTTCTAACTTATTGCACTAGTGCAGCAGTACAGCTGAAAAGAACAGATCCCATGTGGCCGTACCCTAAGTTCAAGCCATTCTAGTCATTCCCGTCGTCGAGTGTGCGTCCATGCATATGCACGCGATTTACACCATGCGGCAATTTTGTTGCAGATTCTGATTCGATATTATAATATTGGTGATACAGTCCCTTCTATCGATCTCATTCATAATTCGACGAAAATTCTCGCTGTTCCTTCTCATTTATATTTATAAAACTTGGGAGAGTAATTCAATACAATGGTTAAGTATTATGAAAACATCACGATCTTTCATTTCGATTGGAGTCAAGTCGTTCGAGGATTCTTTCAGAGGTATCCGAATCCACACAGGTACGTAAACCATGCCATTATGTCATATTATTCTTTCGAACATAGATGTTACATAACATCAAATATATATCAGTATGTAAAGAATTCATATATCATTTGCAGTTCGCACGTCCTCACCGAGGATACGATCTCCAGAGAAGTTAAAAATGGAAAACTTTACTCCAAACGATTGTTGACAAAAACTAACAGACTGCCCAAATGGGGGGAAAGATTTATCAGCAAAAATGTTGTTAAAATTGTAGAAGAAAGTATTGTTGATCCTGAAGCAAAAACTTTGACTACTTACACAAAAAATTTGGGTTACACTAAAGTTATGGTAGGCTAATTCAAATCAACAAGAGAGAAAGAAATATAATGATGATTCAAGTTTGTCTTTCTGAGAAAAATTCTATTTTTAAGTAAATTAGCATGCATTTAATTTAGTAATAAATTAAATTAACTTCAAAATTACAAGTTTTATTTTGAATGAAATTATTGTAGATTATATTGTTGAAACAGAAATAAATATTCAGGATTAAAAAGAAGATATTATATGTTCTAATAATTATATTTTCTTTCAGAGCATTGTTGAAAAAGTAGTTTATCAGGTTTCTGATGAAAATCCAGAATGGACAATAGCGAAGAGATCAGCATGGATTGACAGTCAAGTCTTTGGTTTCAGCAGGGCGATTCAAGCATTTGGATTAGATCGATTTAAGAAAAATTGCACCAAAATGTCAGAAGGCTTTAATTACGTTCTTACAAATATGTTTCCTCATACAGCTCAATTTATAAATCCGAAACTTTCTCAGATGAGTTTTTCTATGCAAGCTGGTCACAGCACCATGGATGATAATGTTACGACAAAATCGAGTCTCGCGGAAGATTTGCAGCATTCTTTACAAGGTAAAGCAGAAAAGGTGAAAGATGCTGCTAAGAAAGCCACAGATTTGGCAAAACAAAAAGCAAGACCAATATATGCAGCTTGTCAGCCAAACCAATCGTAAATCTTCATATATTTTGCAAAATGCAATCATTGTCTCGACAAATGTAAATATCTCTTAGTGATAGAAATATTCACCGATATCATATTATTATTATGATGTATCTTAGACAAAATGATGATACTTTAAAGACTAGAGAATTCAATAATTGCATATTATCAAATAATATTATTTGATAACAATTAAGATAAAAAATTAGAAAATTAATATTGAGCAACAACAAAATTGAGATTTAAAGTTTTAAAATTAATATTGAGCAACAACAAAATTGAGATTTAAATTTGCTGAATTTGGTAATACAAAATTTTCAGAGTTAAAACTATTACATGCATAAAATGTATAAAAGATTTTTAAATCTGTTTACATCTTATCATTCCTTTTAACTGCCAAATTGTTAATAGTGAGTTATCAGATATAATACATTTATATATATATATATATTTTTTTTTTTAATATATGCACATTAAATTATATCATTCTTTTTTTACATGCAAGAAAACCTTTCTGGTTTATTAATAATTTATGGACAATATATTTCTTTGTGTAAAATATTAATTAAAAATGCATTTTGAGATGTTCAATCAATATAAATGTATGTATGTATATTATGTATGTAGTGTTTATTTGCATGTGAATGCAAAAAATATCTGTACAAAATTGTAATTGATAATTATATAAAGCAGAGCATTTTGTAGTTAATAATATATCACTGGAAGTAATTATAAACATTATAAACATGTGCAATAGTTATAAACACAAGCAAAAGAATAGTTTTATATATTCTTTTCTTTTTAATGTAATTAAATATTTTTTATATATTTAGTATGTATGAGTATGTGTGTGTGAAGTCAGAGTATAGTGTATTGATTAATACAAATAACTGAAAGACTTAATTCCATTTATTATAAATACGTCTTTTAGATGTATACATCTATCATAGTTCCAAGAAAACATGTTTCTCTATGTAGTATTCTATACATATATTTAAATTTTTATTGTAGAATATGTTCATTTATTGTAAAATATCGTGTTATTTTTAATATTTAGATTATTGTTGATCAACTCAATTCTATGCATGTACTTTTATCAGGAGCTATTATTACAATTAATAATAATTGAGCATTTTGGCAATCAAATAATATGTTTAAAATTTTATGAATGAAATTTTTTCCTTTTATTAATGAAATATATAAAATTAAATTATATTAAAGAGATTTGAACGGAAATTTAAATTTTCAATATGAAAAAATTATTTAGTGCCTTTTACAATTTATAGCGCTAAACGATATTACTACATATATGTGTAATACATATAATATACATATAATATCTCTAATCTACATGTATCAATATATATATATGTTCAACATATAAATACTTTACATTTTTTATTTATTGACGAAATTTGAATGTAATATATATGGGAGTATAAGTTATCAAAATAATAAGCTAATAATTAATAATTTTTAAGAATGTATTATTTCTACTTTTATCTAGAAATCTACGAACGCGCAATTACAAAAAAATGTTATATGATAGTAAAATATTTACAATATTTCAGATTGAAACATCTCATAGTCATTGTTTTCATAATATTATTAAGGTTTAATAATATTAATAAGATCTTTCGTACACTTGTCAAAATTGATTTTAATCGATTGTACTTCAATATAAATTTTGTTTAATTTCACTTAATAGGAGAAAATTTTTTTCGTATTCGTCAACTGTAATTTAAAATTTGTAATGTATGCTCCGAAAAAAACTTTACATAAAATCGATAAAGTAGAATTCCACCATAAGTATCTTATCTTTACCATAAGAGCTTTGGTTTATTACAAGTTACTTATCGATTTATGATATTTATTCTGATAAAATAGTTTCAGTTTCCTATGTTCTACGATTATCACGAGTTCTAACAAAAAATATTGTATATTGTACAATGTTACATCAAATAATGTGTCATTTTTCAGTTCTCCAAAGTGTATAATGTTGTAATTATGTATATAAATCATACAAATTAATTATTGAAGTAATTTATAGTTTCTGATGAAATAATAAATTTATATAATACGCCACGTGTTAATATATATAAAATAATGTAACGTCATTATACACTTACAAATTGTATATGTAAATAACAGAATTAGTTGTTAAAGTAATTTGTGTTTTCTGAATATAATATATTATAATTTATATCCGATATAATATATAATATACGTGTAAATATATAAATATATATGAAATAATGGCTTCATTACACATAAATCATGCAGTTAGTGATACTACAACAAAGTTTTTTTCAATAATTGAAAGATTGCTATCATTAACTAGTTCAAAGCTCAGTAATAAAAAACAAATTAATGCACACTTAAGTGATCTCAATGAATTGGATTACAGATGCCTTAATATTATAAATAATGATGTAAGAAATTTTTATATTTAATGATAAAATATCTATAATATAAATCTATATAAATATAAATTTATTTATTTCTAGGCAATATTATTGTTAGTGAATCAGCTTTGTGTGATTATTCTACCTACAGAAACATCTTTAGTCAGAAATGCCTGTAAATTTTTATACAATTTAACTCAAAATAATATCAAACTGCATGGCCGAACATTTGCGACTTGTAAACGATGGATTTTAGAAGCATTAGAATTTTCTGACCCACTGGCACAAGTTGATGTGTTAATTGCTATAAAAAGTTTTTTACATGCTGGATATTTTGACGATATCAATCATGTTAGTATATATAATCTTTATCTTTCCCTAACAAACTCATTATTAAAATAAGTTGTTATATTGTCAAAATTAAATATTGCTTTATGTTTCAGTATGCACGTCTGTTACTTAGGGATAAAGGCTTATTAATAAAATACTTAAATTCTTCAAGCAATGCATGGTCTGAAATCAATTTCCATGCACTTGGATGTTTAGAAGAAATTGTAAACAAAAGTAATAGTAATCATGTATCAGAAGAATTTATATATTTGATAAAAGATATTATTTTTAAAAATCTCTCACTGTTACCATATGGCAATGATGATAAATTTTATTATAGTAAAGTATGTAATATATTTTACATATAATTAACAAAATATGTTATCTTACAAAATTATATATTTACAGATCATACATTTGTGTTTGCATATTTTGCATTGTATAATTTTGGAAAAATTAATTCCTAATTCTTCTGATATTGTTGGAGAGATATTAGGAGTAGTGCAAGCATTTTTATTTCATGGTATTAAAGGCTACAATGTTACAAAACCAGAATTACTTCATCCTGCAGCAATGAATCTCCCAGAACGCATTCATATAGTACCAAAATGTAAGAATCTTAAAAATTACAAAGCAAAGCTGAAGAAAACACCTACCAAGAAGAGTGTATCCGATATAGAAAATAGTACCCTTCCAGAACATACTGGAATTTCCAAATATTCCAGCGATTCAGATACATCAGATACAGAATTTAATAATTCTGTCCATATAGATTCCAAAGTAAGATTGGAAGCTGTGCATTTATTGCAGACTCTCATGGAAATTAGTCAGAGTAGAGAGATTTTTGGGTATTGGCCACAAATTGTAGCAACTGGTTCACGAAATGACGCTCGAGTATTAACGAGAAGCATATTGATGGAACCTATATCTAAAGTTAGACAAAATGTATTAAGTACATTAACTGAATTGTTGATAAGCGCTAGACCATTCTTGATACATGCAGAAGAAACCGATCATACTTCCTTCATCACATTTTTCGGCACAGTATGTTTAATGATCAAAGAACTGCATTTTACATTATCATTAATTTTGTTTACTGAGAAAAATGTGACTGTTTTAACGCATGCATTAAAATGCACTGCAGCTCTTGTACAAGGAACACCATATGAACGATTAAAACCGGGTTTAGCTACCAAATTAGTACGGAATTGTAGATCACACATATTTCATAAAGGTATTTTCATGCTGTTATATATAATTTTTAATCTATTATTATCATTATAGCTCAATTATTTACATAGATCCCACTGTACGAGTTGCAGCACTGTCTATTTTTGAAGCATTTGCTTCCAGCGAACCTATCACTCAGGAAATATTAAACATATTAGCTAAACAATCTATAGGTGGTACAGAATTAGGAAAATTACAACTTGATTCTGGTTCAATTAGCGATGTTGGAACAGAAGAAGAAGAAATAGATATTGAGGATCTCAATAATTCAGTAGACAATTGTACTGAAATTAAAACATCAAAAGATGAAAGCGTCTGTTTGCTAATTCGCGTTTGTTTAGAAAATATATCTAATAAGGTATGTAAAATTTATATTTAAAATAAAGCTTTATAATGCACTAAAGCAGTTATTAGATTGGAAGTCAATATTATATTTTATTTTAGATAATTAGTACACCTGTACGACTTCAGTCTTTGAAACTTATGGGGAGATTAGCATTTAATACAGGAAGTCTCATATTTCCTCACTTAGAAAAAGTAACCACAATCTTAATCTCAGTTATGGAAGAATCAGAAAGCCAAGTGATATTACATGCATGTCGGGTTTTAGAAATTATGTCTGGTTGTCTCGCAAATATTGAGACTTATCATAGTGACGGTATATTATTTTGGAACATTATATTTGATTCTATGATATCACTCGCGCAAACATCGCAAACCATATTGCGAGAAGCTGCTTGCGATTGTCTAGGTAGCATAAGTGGAAATGTATTTACACAATTATCGGTAAGAGGGAAAAAAAAATGTAATTATTTAAATTTTTATTTTTCTTAAATCAGTTACTCTGCAAATACATTCGATAACAAGAATATATTTTATGAATAAATTGTTGTATATATTTCGGTGATATTCTGAAATATTATGTCAGAAATTATTTTTGTTTTCAGAGGCAAAAAACTATATTAATAATTACAATACTATTTGGAGCAGTCCGCGATGAAGAAAGTGCCGTGAGAGCAGCCGGCTTACGTGCATTAGGAATGTTGGTAACTTTGTCGGTATTAGAAGACGATACTGGTTTCCTTATGGATTTAGCTGATATAGTTTGTCTGGCTCTTGATGACAAAAATCTCGGCGTTCGCGTGAAAAGTGCTTGGGCATTAGCAAACTTGTGTGACTGTCTTTCTAGACAAAAGTCTGTCCTCTTTTTATTTATTTGATATTTATTATCTTAATATATATTTTTTATCCATATAAATATATATTTTCAGACAGCATGAAGAGATAGAACCATTCTCTCTAGAAGTTTTGCTGGCCAAATTATATCATATAAGTGTCAAGGCTGCAAAAGATAATGATAAAGTAAAATGTAACGCTGTTAGAGCAATTGGAAGTATTTTATATCTATGTCCACAAAAGCACATACTCTCTGATACAACATTAGGATTAAATGCACTTATTAACTGTGCTATTTTAGGAAACGATATGAAAGTAAGTCTCACTATAATTTTAAATTCTTATAATATGTTAATTTATAATATATTAATTAATAATAAAATAATTATAAATTTACTAAATAACTTTCTCTCTAAAATGATTAGTTTTGTGTAAAATATTATGTTTCAGAATTTATGTGATAAAAAAGATTAAGGAATATTTCATTATATAATAATAAATATTTTTTTTATTTATTTAATGAATAAATAAATTTTTCTTTTTTATAACTTTAGGTACGATGGAATGCTTGTCGAGCTTTAGGATTAGTTTTGAGTCACAATCCAGATGCAATATTGCCATCTTCTTGGAAAGTATGTATTTAAAAATTGATATCTTTGACACACACACACACGTATGCACGCATGCACATTGAATAAATTTATTTCATACAAGTAAAATATTAAATATTTTTATCTAATTTTCATTCTTTTTTTTTAGGATGAAGTATTTCCAGCACTTTCCACCTTGATATGTAATAGTCCCAATTTTAAAGTACGTACCAATGCTGCATGGGCACTGTATTCATGTAATTATTATGGTAAATATACCATAATGTTGTGGAAAAGTATTGTATTGGCATTTGAAAATGCTCAACATGTCCCAAGCTTTGTTGAATATCCACATCGAGATGCACTAATTCAACAAGTATGTATATTTTTATATACAACATATTTCCTTGATATGTTATTTGTCATATTAATATAGAATATATTTTTTTTTAGTTGTGCCTTACTCTTGCTCGCGTTGCTGCCTGTACAGAAAAATCTGAACTACAAAGTCTTTGGCTCGAAATTGGCGATCATGTAGAAGAAATTTCTAATGTTGTGAAGCAATTTCAGGTATAGTGTAACATTTATAGAATAGATGAAATATACATATTGGAATGATTTTATAATTTTAATATTTCAAATATTTTTGTCATAGGAAACTGTCTTACCTGAAAAATTGGGAGATTTAATCAAAGCAAAAGCCCAATTGGAACAACTAACAAAGAGCACATGTTGTATTGAAGATCAACAAATTGCTCAATCTTTAACAAATATATTTGAAAGAAATCGCTATGATTATTTTGATGTTATTACACCTACAATATAACTTTGTAAAATGAGGAAATAATATGACTTTTTTCAAGCAATTTTTAATATTTATTTTAAAAAAGATCTTAATAAAATATACACAACACAGCCATGTTTATATATAGAAGAAATGTATATAGCATACATGAAAATTATATTACAACATAATATAACAAAATATAATTCTAATTTAATGATAATTAGAAAGTCGAATTCACTAAATTTTGATTATACATATAATTTTAAATATAATATAAAAAAAATATTAACATGTATTGTCATGTGTCATTTTTACATTGAGTGTTTTTATTCGGTTTTTCTTCAAAAGATGTTTCTAATGTATGTTCTTGATTTTCTTCTGTATCTAATAACAGCTTCTTTTCTGTTGCTGTTTTTGCTTCATTTTTATCTTTAGATATATTTATAGAACAACTCATACTTTCTTCATTTATTTCATTAGTTTTTACAGTAGCTTCAGTTTCTTCATTTTCATCTGAACTCTCCTCCTTGCTGCTTTTTTCATCTGTGATAGCACTTTCCTTTGTAGTTTTCATTTGTTTCCTCTGTTTGCGTCCCTGTTTCTTTTTCAATCTTTTAGCACGTCTTTTTGCTGTTGCTTCTTCTGCCAATCTTTTATTGTCTTCAAGTTTTTGATGATATTCATCATCCAAAAGTTCCTGAATTATTATAAAAGAAATGCTTTTTAATCAACTGGAAAAGTTTAATAATTTATTTTATGCAAAAAATATATATATCTTAAATCTATATGTATCTTATAATTTTTATACACAGTAGTTACCTTATGTGCTTTTTCTTGAATAAACTTTTGCCGCGCATATTCTTTTCGTCGTAAATGTCTGTACACGTGAAATTCTCCGCTACCTGCTCCAGCACTGCTACCCATAACATTACGAACAAATTCAGGTACAGAGGGTGTATTTTTAGCCTTTGGACGTTCCGGCAATATAATTGGCTTATCCTAATGATTGAAAGAAGTCACGAATTTATTTTAAGATAATCCGAAAAAAGACAGTTTTGCGGATGCAATAATAATAGAAAGTAATTTTTTTCTAATTTAAATAATAAACAATATTTACCACATTCTTCATTAATTTCATTAGTTTTAATCTTTGCAGATCTACAGCTGTTTTTGCTACTACAGGTTTTTCCTCGTCTTTCTCCTTATCTGACATCTTTTTACTATTTAAATAACCAAATATATAATAATTTTTTCGTGTTTTTCCTGCGTAAAATTCCTATATAGTATCTGTGAGCTGTGTAGGTGTGTAGCTTATTGTTTGATAAACCATGAATTACTATATTAGACCCAGATGGATTTTTACTGGATGGTGTTCGAAAACGTACTTGTCGAAAATCAGTAGCTTTCTATTGACCAATCAAGACAAAAGGAGCAAAGAATTTTTGTCCTGATTGGTTGATGCAATTCAAGCAACTTTTGCTTGCTAGTTTTCCCAATTGCCGGAGAGGGCGACGTTATTGTTACATCTTTTTGAAACTAATAATCTTTCTGATTTAAGATTATTCCAAGGTTTGTCTTAATCAGTGTGAATTGTGAATCAGTGTTGATTTCGATCATCGTTGTCAATGTTTTACGTTTGATAACATTTCACAATATTTTGGTGCAATTTGCGAGATAATCGCATAGTAAGAAATGGCAGATCCTAAATACGCCGATTTACCTGGAATTGTGAGTATTTTTCATGTTCGTGTTTGGTTATCTTATTTTAATATCATATTATATCATATTTAGGCATACGATCAGCTTGATGTCTACGAAACGAGCGATTTGCCAGAATCAGAACAAATGCGAATGTACTGTGAGGTAAGCTACATATATATATATATATATATATATATATATATATATATATATATACATATAATTCAATCTGTTAATTAATAATTAATTTATTCAGGATGAACCTGACAGCTCTTGTGTTGAACAATTACACATCAGTGCTAAAGAAGCATTCAATAAATTTAAGGGCAAACAAATTGTTGGGAAACCTGTTGATTTCTCAGATCGTTTGTCTAACAAACCGAGGACAGGATACAAGCAAGTTTTAATTAATGAAATTATTTTAATTTAATGAAATTTCATATATAGGATAATATATACGAGAGTATTTTCAGATTTGGAGATTGGGAACTTGTCAGTGAAGGTGAAAAAGAAACTCCTCTTCAAAAATATCAACGATTACAATGTGAAATTAAGGAATTATATGAAGAAGTGAACGAGTTGAAGGTATATTGTTATAACATTACAAGATAAAATTAAAAAATATCAAAATTATTTTGTTGAATAATATATATATGCTGGTAATATGTTCAGGAAAACTCAAAGGATGAAGTGGAAATCAAATCTGCAAGCGAAATTATTTCTCAGGCACAGCAGTTAGAAAAACAGTTGATTTCTCTAAAACTGGAAGATTGTCTAGGGCCTGATGTTGTTGCAAGTTTATCAGATCCACAAGGCACAATGCTTAAGTATGATGTTTAAAAATTATATATATATATATATATATATATATATATACAGGGTCTACCAAAAGTGTGGAAACCCCTAAATATCTCGGAAAATATACGTTTTACAGAAAAGTGTTTCCAACAAAAGTTGTAGGGTTTAAGAAGATCTATATACTGATTCTATCAGTTTGACCTTGGATGGCGTCGTCAAAGTCAGGTCAAGGTCACATTGACTTTTTTAAATGACACCCCCTACATTTGATTGCATATTCTTATAGCTTAATTCAAGAGCTTTCCAAAACACTATAATAATGTTCATTTTTATTAAGTACTTTGCGAGTTATGAGGGTTGAAATAATTTCTTAATTTTACATAAACCATAAAATATCTAGTAAACCATTCATTTTTCGATTATCTTACCTTCATACTTTTATGTACAAAATAATGAAAGGAATCAATTGGTGTAAAGAAAACATACAGTTGTTTTTAAGAAAAAATATGGAATTGTTAATTGCAAATTACATATTTTTTCTTAGAAACAACTATGTGTTTTCTTTACACCAATTGATTCCTCTCATTAATTTGTACATAAAAGTATGAAGGTAAGATAATCGAAAAATGAATGGTTTACTAGATATTTTATGGTTTATGTAAAATTAAGAAATTATTTCAACCCTCATAACTCGCAAAGTACTTAATAAAAATGAACATTATTATAGTGTTTTGGAAAGCTCTTGAATTAAGCTATAAGAATATGCAATCAAATGTAGGGGTGTCATTTAAAAAAGTCAATGTGACCTTGACCTGACCTTGACGACGCCATCCAAGGTCAAACTGATAGAATCAGTATATAGATCTTCTTAAACCCTACAACTTTTGTTGGAAACACTTTTCTGTAAAACGTATATTTTCCGAGATATTTAGGGGTTTCCACACTTTTGGTAGACCCTGTATATATATATATATATGCATATATATATGTATGTATGTATGTATGTATATATAAATCATGCTCTATATCACAAATAGAATTATTAAGCAAGCAATATGCTCATCTAAATTATCATCAGAAGATGAGAAGACAGATGAATCAGTGAATCTGGTGTCCTTAAATATAAATGATGTAAAAAACAAAAAGAAAGATTGACATCAAAATGGAAATTATAAAAAGTAAATAAAAAAAAAAACAAAAAAAAAAAAAAAAAAAAAAAAAAAAAAAAAAAAAAAAAAAAAAAAAAAAAAAAAAAAAAAAAAAAAAAAAAAAAAAAAAAAAAAAAAAAAAAAAAAAAAAAAAAAAAAAAAAAAAAAAAAAAAAAAAAAAAAAAAAAAAAAAAAAAAAAAAAAAAAAAAAAAAAAAAAAAAAAAAAAAAAAAAAAAAAAAAAAAAAAAAAAAAAAAAAAAAAAAAAAAAAAAAAAAAAAAAAAAAAAAATCTATAAAGGAGTACAAGAAAGTTTTGCTTCTAATATGGAAGTTATAAAGAGTAATATAGCATTGCTGATGAACGTATTAAAAAGCTTAAAAAGTAATTAAAATAGAAATATTAAATTTATTTACAAAAGTATCGCTATATTGATATTTTTTAAGATTACTTTATTAGGAGCATTTATACTCCCATTATGTTGATATTGTTTAATTTGTAATTTATAAATTCTATTTGTTCTTTATATGCATACAATTATCTTGTCTTTCTTACACATTTTGCAAGCATGGCATCTGATTGCTAAAATAATGAGCCTACTAAAATCTTTTAATATAATACACAAATAAAAAGTACATAACTTCATATGTAAAGCATGCAAACTAAAATAAATTGAAAGCAGTAAGAAAAGTTGTTTATTATTATATATTTTATATGTATGATTTGGATGTTAATTAATTATTAAATAATATATCAAGTTAACTAAATTAAAAGGCAAGTAAAGTAAATGATAATTAAAAATATAAAGGTTTGATATATTCTTTACATAGGACATATTATGTGATGGAAAAAAATTGTATTCACTTTTTTTATTTGTATATCAGGCTTTTATTTAGAAATAATTAGAATCTTAACTTCTGGAAGAACCATTTGTTCTTACCATTTTTATACCTGGAAATAATGGATAAATTTACATAATTATTTATGGTCAAATTGAGCGATATTCAATTTATATTACCATATTATGAATATAGATTTTGCAGTGACTATAGTATATTGAATTACATACCTCTCCTCAAATTTGACACGTGTCTGGAAACGAACTTTCTTGCGCTTCATTGGGTCCTTAAGATCTTTAGGAGCTACTTTATCCAATTGTAAATCTACCGTGTATCTCGTTGGCATTAAATGGTTGTAATTTAAAATCTAAATTATAGAAAATTATATAAAATTATAATAGATTCATATAGACATACGAAAAAGATTTGGAAACTTCAAAAAATCCATACATACAACCAAGAGTACGTAATAAAAAATTGATACAATATAAAAAAAATCATAAATTTACCTTAACAAAAGGCTTGATTTTAGAGCGTTTATGTAACTTTCCCTTTCCCATTCTTTTGTGGACCTTGCGTGGATACCGGTCAATGCCTGCAACCATAGCATGTCCATATTGTTTTTCTGCTGTTCCATCATCATAGTTGCGCATGACAATGGCTTTTCTTCCCGCGTACCGGCCGCTGAGGACCAGCACAACTTTTCCAGTCTTCATAATCTTCACCATCTTGGCGATGTGAACTGAAAAGAAAAAATAAAGGATGTAAATAATCATAGAAAAAAGGGATTTTAAACATTAATTATATATACGTAATCACTTTTTCTGTACAATTTAATAAGCATAAAGTATTATTTCTTTTTCTTTCTAAAAAAAAATGCTATCAAAATATCCTTGTTAACAATGTAAACATTCTGGATTTGAATACATGATCACTCATACTACAGATAAAAAATCTGTAGTTGTAAGAAAAAAAAAGCGAAAAATGTTATATTATTCTGATGATAATGTCACGAAAATAACGTATTAATCGGAAAAGATTGATCAAAACCGTTCGCTCAGTTTTATTTAAAATGTGACATTCTTGGTTAGAGTTAACCTCGCGATTCTATTCGCCGATAAATGTTTCCGAAAGACCCGATAAATCAAATATTAGCACACGAGCAGAGATCGCGTTGCTTGCTAATTAGAGATGAGACGCAAATGTCGCGGTAAAAATTCCGGATTTACGATGTCTAAAGATATAATTTACGATATAAACGAACATCACGCACCTCACAAGTCGTCGTACCGCATAAAAGGAAGTTAACCCTACTACCTTTTTGCTTGTATCTTTACTAGTCTCGATCGACAGATGTCGCACTGTTGCACATCCGGTAATCTCGACGTGCGAGATCCTCGAAGAGTAGAATTTTAATTTTATTATTAGAATTTTAATCACAAATTTGCTTTTGATATTACAGTATGTGAGATTGGATTTAATCGGTTCTAATTCAAGTTGTAAGAGAAGAAGAAGAACATCCAAAAAAGGTAACATACCTTTAGATGTGTGAGAAATAAATTTAATAAATTATAAGAAGAATATACTTATTTATTTTATTTTTTAATTCTGTTAATAGTAACATATATCTTGCATTCTTTTAAACGATAAATTACATATAATTATATATTACTCGCACATAATGTACGTCTAAGAACGAATGCAAGGGATGCTTTGGAAAATATTACAATTTTAAGGACTTTGATCAAATTTTAATTAACTCGATCAATAATTAATTCAACGGAGGTAGAATTGCTTGCAGCAAAAATTTCTAATTGTATTATTCATCATTTCTCTCTCTGCCTCCCTTCCTCCTTCTCTCTCTCTCTCTCTCTCTCTCTCTCTCTCTCTCTCTCTCTCTCTCTCTCTCTCTCTCTCTCTCTCTCTCTCTCTCTCTCTCTCTCTCTCTCTCTATCTATCTAACTATCTATCTATCTATCTATCTATCTTCCTCTTTTCTCTCTTTTTCTCTAATTTTATTTTACACGTATTGAAAAATTAAAAAGAATCAATAAATTTTTTCACATACATATATTTATATAATCAGTATAATATTGCAAATATTATTAATAAGTTAATTGAAGTTTTACTTATATTAATTATTCGAGGTAAAAAATTCTCCGTATACTAACGCCCTCTCGTTAAACATTGGGCGACTAGAAATTATTTTTCGGGAATATCTAGATAAATTTTTATGGCTACGTAATGCATGATATACGAAGAAATGAACCAATCACATGTAGAGTAGGCCATATTATTGCCTCTTTTGCATTATGGGCGCTCGCGATTGGTTGACATTTGTGTATTATGCGAGTTTATATCTAGATAGCTTATAATTCTCGCTTTATAAAATCACTTCCAACTTCGATCAAATTTTAATCGTCCTCGAACCTGTATCCTGTTATTCGTTAAGCAATTTTTTTTCTTTGACTTGATTATAATCTATCCTTCTATAAGTTTTGAATTTTTTTTAACAGCTTGTATACACACGTATGTATGTACATATCTTCGTTAAGGTTATATATCGCAAGAATACATCCATTGCACTTTTCTGGTAACTGACCCCAAAAGTCAATTCAAATGTCAATTGTACATAAATTCGAATCCGCGATGAGAACATTCTCACTATTTAACGAACACTCTGCTCATCTTCAAAATTCATTATAAAGGTCGAAAAAGCGAAAAGAAGATGTAAAAGAAAGAAAAGTACACGTATAAAAATAAATTGCAAGGCATACACGTAAAGGTGCCTTTACATAGGAGCGTTTTAGCGTCGAGCGTTAAAGCGTCAAAAAGTATGACATGCGCAGTGTGCCTAGTGATTTGTTGAAACGCTGGAGCAGTCAGTAAATCATCTAAATTGCGGAATATTATCAAATATTATCATTATTATCAATATTATCAATATTATCATTATTATCAAATATTATCAATAAAATGTCAGTTAATTATCGTTATCATCAATGGTTATTAGAATGCAGCAGCATTATTAATCATGAATATAAGAAACAAAAAAAAGTTACGTGCACACTCCACACGTTATATCCTATACAAAGAATACATTGTAATAAATAATATTCATGTTGTATTTAGAAAACATATATTTATGCCAATTATTCCTTCTGTTTGGTTATGTTGTAATACGCTACTAATCGCGCAATTCTATAATATATATTGTATAATGATATCTATTATATCTATTATATCTATTATATTTATTATATATTATATATATTAATACATTTTCTATTAAGAATATACAATCTACTTACCTCTACCGTATTTATTAAAATTTTGTTACTAGACATTGTTTTAGCGGTTTTAGCGTCAAGATGCTGGAATCTGCCTGTTCAGAATTATGCGCAAGGGTGCTGCGCACGTGTTTTTGACGCTCGACGCTTGACGCTAAACGCTTCCATCTAAAGACGCCTTAAGATAATTATATGATGTAAGCGTAAAAAAAGGTGAAATATGTGCTTATCCAACAAGACACGAAGAGATGATTTTTGCGATAATTCATTTTGTTATTCTTTCTTTATTGCGTTTCCGATTAATGACTGCTATCCTTCTTTCAGCTTCCATTACGAGCGGCATAAATCTTTCTTCTCCGTTTTTCTCGGGAAGCGTGGGAGAACCGCATTTACCTCGCGCCTTCGGCTCGCCCGCAACAAGTGTTCCCTAATCGATAACATGCCCTGCGAGACCCTTTCAACGACGCCATGAGTTTCACAGGAGTTAATTCGTACTTCACATTTCTCATGGTATAATTTTTATTCCTTTTTTTTCTATCTTTAAAAAATTTTATTATACTAAAAAAAAAGAAATAAATATAAACGATAAAGCGAAATTTAATTTTTTCGGAGCAACCTCGCCGATCGGTTGCTGCTCTTTAGATTCTTCTCTTTCTTTCTAAGACAATTAATCGCTTTATTAAGGAGAAATATATTGTTAGATAGAATTTTTATCTATCTGTCAATTTTCAGCGACGCGATGATTTATTCCCTTAGATGCTCCTCTTTATTGTCGTCGATGACAGTACGTGTGTGCGCCTTTTCTCTTTCTTCCTCCCACTCTCCCTCCTTCTATCTCTCTCCCCCTATCGTTCTGTGTCTTTGTTGGCCCGCTGCCGGCACAATCGATTTCAAAATACGACGACGCACGGCTTGCGCGCCGTCGCCTGTTGTACCTTCCTCCACCTCTTTCTCATCGTCCTACCTTTTCAGTCAGTGCCATCGCTGCGGCGGAACCGGCGGCCGTCCACGGGAACATGGTCCAGGAGGTTCTCGCAGCTAGCACCGCCGAGTGGTGATCGCCAACTCTCTCGCGAAGCGGAACAAAATTGTGATTTTCGTGGCGGCGTGCACTATGTGCCGCAGGGTGTGAAGAGACCGTGTTACGTCACGCCCAGGTGAGGACGAATCTACGTTTACACCCAGCAGTTTCACCCTGATTCCCTCCTTTAATATCTTTTGAAGAGAAAAAATTCGCGGTAAAGGTATGCGATGTAAACTTGCGTCCAAAAAATAAAAAAAGCCTCTTTATAATTGTTTTCTAACAGCAGATTTGCGTGTTCTAAATTTCTCTGCGCTAGATTCTTTTCTTTTTTTTAAGGGTAAATTATAAAGATTGTGTAGTTAAAGGGGCTATATCAAGATACACGAGAACATATCTTCTTTACCGGCGTTATAATTGCACGCTATCATATTTACATTGAATGTTAACTGAGGGGATGTTAACATCGCAGGAATTTATATGAAATTATATTTGGATACTTAATATGAATAATAAAAATCGTTATCGCGCGTGTCTCGCTTCCGATAATATCCGAGAATAATGTAAGAGCCAGAGAGCTAAAATCGGATGGCGGCGCGCAGGTTTCCCAAGGGGATGCTAATTTGTCTTTGGAGGAGGGTGAATGTGACTACAACCTGATGCTTCGAGATATATATAAATATAGAATTATATGTAATCACGGAAAGAGGATGCTTTTTTGAAGATAAAAAAATAAATGATAGAACGGAAGGCATCTGGAAACAGAAATCAAAGGACAGGATTCTCTCGTCAAAAAACCCACATAGCATCTATGTTCAAAAGACATTCACAAGACATCTTGAAGATATTCAATCGCCCAAAGATGTCTTCTGGATACCTTCTTGACGTCTTTTGGATATGCATGCTATGTGGGAAGTAAAAATAAAAAATATTTTTCTTATTTCTGTCTTTTATATAATTTGTGTTGAAGAATCTGTTAAACGATTTCTTTTTTTTTTGTTTACCAGAAAATGATTCAGATTCACATTTAGAATAGCATTTTTTATCGTCAGTCAGTTTGCTGAAAGCAATGTAGATTATGCCGTGTGCATTGACTTTTGTTAGATTCGTATTCGATCGAGTGCGGGCGATGCACTCCAGGGCGATGCACCTAGAAAAGCTACTTACACTAGCCTTCTAGAAACTATTGCTGCACAAGTCCGAGTGTATACTTCTATAAACAGTTCATGAACTAAGATCTTGACGCGAGAATACATTTATGTGTCTTTAAGACTTAAGTAAAATATTTTACGTAAGTCTTAAAGATACATAAATGTATTTCTATGTGAAATATTTTACATAAATCTTAAGGCACATAAATGTATTTTTATTCTCGTCAAGATCTTAGTTCATGAACTATTTATTGAAAATATTTTATATATTCTCAATGATTTTTTAATCATCAGAAACTATAATAATTTAAAATTGTTAAAACTTAAAAAACAAAAATAATTCACAATGTTTCCGCATCGCTTATTCACTAGGATGCCGATTACATTTGCTTTATTTTTCTGCGAGTAAAAGAGAGAGGAAAGTGAGATAAAATTATCCTATTATAGATGCTTGAAAGAACGGACGGAGTGACGTAAAGTGGATTCACAATTGCAGGAACATCTATGGGCCGTAAACGGTGGTGGCGAGGAGGTCTGGTGGAGCTCTTGGTGCTCTGTGTCCTCTATCACGTCGTCATTCTCGCTGATGGCAATGTTGGTGAGCACTGAATATTATTATTCGAACGAGCGAGAAGATAATGGCGTTCGTCTCCAGAGAGTATACTTACCCTCGATGCGAAAGTTCGTAATCTGAATAAAGTAACGTGGCTATTATTTTCCGTGCAGAAATATATTCTGCGAAAAAGAGACCAGTATCAGAAATATATTTTCCGATAAAACTTATTTTCGTTCGAAGAAAATCTTGAATCGTCATTTTTATCTATTTTTTAATTCCAAATGAATTTGCATTTTAATTTCAAATAATTGGAAAATTAATTTCTTTCTATTACGTCTTCTAGAATCTCTCGAAGAATGTTCGCCTCTTTTAAATTAATAAAGAGATGAACTTTAAATCTCTTTATATATATATATATAAAAATAATATATATAAAAAAAATAAACGAGAGGGTTTTTAAAGAGATAGGAGATATCACATAGTTTTATGGTGAAGCGTTCTATTCGATACTCGTACTGTAAATCATCGTTAAATTGCACTCCGCGCAATCAAGCAGAAACCCTTTGTGCGTGAACGTTAAACACGAAGATGACAAAGGATGAGAGATATATTACGTAGATATAACGACAAGACATTGAGAGACAATGGACGAAGTCCACGGTAAACTCAATTAATGAAATAATTTTATACCACTGTTTTTAAATTATACAGATCATTTAACATCGCACCAAAAAATTGAACAGCTCTTAAAAGATTCATGAGATAAATTTCCTTTTAATTTACATTCTAAAATAAAATTCAAAATCTCTATAAAATTTTTGAGTCTTGATATAAATCTTGGAGAGCCTCTTTATAAATCGCCTTAAAATAAATCCGAAGTATATTTCTTGTAATTCAATTAACATCCACTCTCGATACTTCTCTGTAAAAATAAATTTTATCTCTTCAATCAATATTTTTCTTAACGATAAAGTGATGTAAGTATTCAACTCGAAGTATTAACATCGATCGCGCGTAATGGTTGACGCCCCATTAGGTTGTCGCGTGATATTATACTTCTTTAAGTGCTGTTTGGTCATACATTTGTGCAAAAGTATACTTATCGATTAACAACACGTGAAAAAATATGCAAGCGAATTACTTTTTATTAACCGCAAATATATTGTTTACATTTCACAAGAATGCGACTATAAGGTGCAATAATCAATTAAATTTATATGTAAAAGTTACACAATGCTGCGTAATAGAATAGGAGAATTTAATTAATTAGTAATTAATTAATTAGCTAAACGATGTAGGTAGAACCTGAAAAGATTCGAAGGGTGTTTATTGTATAGCTAACGATGTGGGTGGAACCAGAAAAGATTCGAAGGGTGTCTATTGTGTATTAAAATATTTGTCGATTAATTTTAATATGTATTATATGGTTGTGTTTCTGTTTAATGTAATAGAAATGTAATAGGTCTCACAATAAGTAAATGTAATAGCCAAAGTAATAGAATTGTAATAGCTCTAACTACAAAGAAAGAAAGTAGGCGCTAATTGACATTGGTGCACGACATCAAAGTTTTGCGACTAAATTTCTAGCTCACCATATCGACTTCTGAATGACGTCAATACAAAGAAACTTTCTGTTATCGTTCGCGGTGCACTTTTACGAGAAACCGGGATTAGGGTCGTCGATCCTTATCGATCATTCCCGTTATCGTTCTCGTCATCATGATGCTCTTCATCGTGATGTGTAGCTTATGCGAATTCACTCGCGTATTTTATAACTCTCTTCTCTACGTCGACATGAAAGCTTGTTCAGAAGATTATTGGAACAAAGTTGATATCGTAAAACGGGCTTCTACAATAGGTACCTACCACTTATAATAACTAAGAGAGATAAATTGCGTTCTTTCACAATATATCACTTAGTTTTCCCTATCACTTGCTTTATTTTCATATCAAAGTATCGATCATTTTAGAGCATTTGTAAACACAATCGAGAAACGAGGAATGCTTTCTCAAAGAAAAATCGATATCCGTAATTAGAGAAAAAATAAAAAAAAAATAAAAAAAAATATTAATAGGAGCTAATTGCATGTGGTAATGAGATAATAAAGTTCTATTGGGAGAGAGAGAAAGAGAAATATTTAAAATTGCATCTGACTGACATAGTAATATTAAATAAAATATCTATAATATCTATAAAGCAAATTTTTTTCTTCTTTGAATCTTTGAAATAATCGATTCTTTTTTATGTTTCAGTTTTTAATTAAGGAAACTCTAAATAATAACGAAAGGATATTGTATAAAATCTGAAAAGTTTTAAAATAATCCTCCTCATCACTCATGAAATTAGGCAATATTTTGTCGTCTAAAAATCAAGAGGGTCTCTCTCTTTCTCTCTCTCTCGCTTTCTGTCTCTCTCTTTCTCTTTGTTACACATTCATATATACATATATATATATATAGAAGTGTTCGATTTTCGCCCACGACACAACTCGACAGTTATCGAGCGTTCATCCCACGCAGCCACCGCCTTCGCGAACTTCCAGATATCTCTATCGCGCGCGCGTAACGTCATCCCTCTTCCTCTATCTTCCTGTTTCTCTCTCCCCCCCCCTCTCTCTCTCTCTTTCCCTATCACGTGCGCGCGCGTGCTTGTGCAGATAATATAACGCGACCCTTTGCTTATCTATTTCCCCCTCGTATACCCCTTTCGTCTCGTTTAACCCCTGCCACTTCATGCAATCCCTTTGCCATTGCCGCGAGAAGTACACACATCCACGTGTACCCCGGTACTCATCATTCCTACATTTCAATTTTCCTTTATGTGTATGTAAAATGCATATATATATATATATATATATATATATATATATATATATATATATATCCGTGATTCACCTGCTCGATCGACCCACCTCCACATATTTAACCCTTAGGCAAAGATATTTTCTCTACATAACAGAATGCCGATTTCATTCAGAATTGACGGTAGATATTATATATGAAATACAATAATGCGAAGAGATTATCCTCGATGATAAGAGATTATACTTTCATGTGAGCTATATAGCTCAGCCATCAATACTTCTCGCATTAATTACAGTTGATCCTATTCATCATTTCCTTGATAAATACAGAACGTTGATCTTCCCACATGTAACATGCAAATATATAGAGATATTATATAATAAATGAAATTGTGTATACATTTTTAATGTTACATATTCTTTCTCAAATGATTATAAATATTGTTTAGATTTTTTTCTGCAGTTCGTCACGAATGTTTAAATAGATTTTATTCAACTTTGGCTCTCTCTCTCTCTCTTTCTCTCTCTCTCTCTCTCTCTCTCTCTCTCTCTTTCTCTCTCTCTCTGTTGACAGAGATTTACTCTGTTGCATGTGTTTTGTATTTTATTTCATTCTATTCTTTAATTACATAATAGATTTTCATGTCTCTCTTGTATATTCAAGAGAGATTTATTCTTCATCCTAATAGACAAATATAAATATATATGAGTAACATTTTTCTTCCATATTTTTGATATATTTTTCTTTTATTTATTTCAACACAGCTATAACTTATGATTTACTACAAATTAAAAATGCAGTCACAACATATCAAAAGGATGAGTGCGTTCACTTGTAGTGATGTTCATTAATTGTATTCCACATATTTCCGCGCTCTGAGCTGTGCACAAGCACGTGCGTGCCCTATTAATTACACACGATCACCCACAACTGCCCCATCCTTTAATCTTTTATACGCGTCGAATATCATCAATCGTCTCGCAAACTCTCACGAGAATACGATTTCGATAGAAATCGAATGCATAATAAAAAACGCTTACGCAGATAAAAAATTTTTCAAAACAAGATAAAACAATCTTTTAATTGTGTGTTTCAGATTACAATCGAGATGAGATTGAATGAGGGATTAAATTATTAAACGATACAAAAGAATGATTAAAAATCACAAAGAGAGGAAGAAGGTCAAATGAAAGGGGGGTAAAGAGGGTTTTATAGAATTTCTCAAAAATGAGAATCTATATCTTGGTTAAATGCACCAAGTAAAATATATGCATATGCCGTGTTTTCGTTTAAAATTTCGCGTACAATTAAAAAGAATTTTTCAGACATTTACCATCCGCTGTGGCTCGTAGACGCTAGTTTTCTTATCATGTTATTTAATATATAACGAGCCTAATTCCTTTCGATTTAGTCAAATAAAAGAGCTCGAGTTTTTTCGTTCTTTTTTTTAGATGGTTAAATGTCGAGATTTTTACATAAATTTTCAATGGAAATGTGGCTTATCCACAGACGCAGATCAAGTAATCACGCCTTTATAGGACGATACTATTATTAGAAAAGCTCCATTCTTTCCGAATTTATCCACGATATTAAATGTAATGCTGCTATTTCGGGCGGATTATAATCAAACTATCTCTGTGTACATTTTCTCAGCGTAACGCTATTTTTATTCTTTAATAATGTGTTTCGTGAGTTATGTGATACGATATGGTGAGGACCTGATCGATTGTATCGCGAGCCCTTAAACAAGACTAGAATCAGATTACACATCTATGTTGAAATATTTGCATAGTTTAGTGGCATATGACGTAGATGCTTGGAATTGTATGAATGCGAAAAAACTAAATGTTACACTTTGAAGCTAAAATTTCTCTCTCTCATTCTAAATAATTTCTCTTAGTTATAATCGTTTTGTGTTTCTAGGATGCCTATTTAGCGAAAACATATGCGACCCCGAGGCGGAAAAGTGCTTTGACGGTAATAGCTTTGTGTGATTAATTAATAAATTAATAACAAAACGAGAAATTCTCTTTCAATCTCGGTCTCTTTTTTGTCTTACGATATACAGAATCAAAAAATGATTCAAAATATATTTTGCGCGAATAAAGTTTAACAGATAAATTAATTATTAACAAAATCATGGATGATATTAATGTAGAATAATCAGTAGCATTTTTACTTTTCATTCACGATTTGCTTCATTATTAATATCATTTTTTCAGATCTTGCGTTTGGCAAATGTATACCTCGGTACACGAATTTAGAAAACGATGATTTATATCGGTAAGTTCTGTATGATAAAAATTATATTCTAAAATTGAAATGTATTTTTATAACATCTATTAATTATTGGCATCAGAAGGTGTCTTTTTCTCTCAAATGTTAATCCAATATATATGAATGCAATATACGTGAATTAAATTCTCATTCTGATCGATTAATTTTATCGCCGGGTCATCAAACTGTCTGTTATTACGTCTTTATCGTCTTTATTATTACGTAATCCATATTTTAGTGCGATCGACACTTATAAAATCAACGTATAACACTCTCTGTTCTCTATATCACGTAGATATAATCTCGATAAAGGTGAATTGGAGCTATTAAGACTGCAACTAGAGAAACTGGAATCCGACGGGTACAAGTGGAAGCATCCCTTTACACAATGTATTATGCAAACGTCGCTATATAATCTCCGGCATGGGTACGTCACCCTTTGTTGGAACTAGTAGTCGTGGTAAATGATTGTTCTGACGAATTAAAATTCGTCGACGTGTGCGTAAATTAATACACATGACTCTTTGTAATTTTAACTGAGTTTGCAAATTTTAAAAATGTTATTCTTTTCTCATCGTATAAAACTTTTTATCTATTATTTTTAATATTATCTTCAAAATGTAGTGAATATATTAACTCATGCTAACTAATTTTGTTTAAATATTCCAAGGGATTATTGTAAGAAACTTGTATGCGATGGATAAAGAACAGCATCATTTTCGTGAAAACATTTATGAAAAATAGTTTGCAAATTGTATCAACACAAGCATCATTTAATGAAATTCAATCCGAAACTTTTCAGACGAGACGATCCCCCCGATAAACGTCTCTGTGAATACCTAAAAGAATCAAGTTTCGATGAACAAGATGGACTTATTGACAAGGTCAGCATAAATCATAATACAGTTACAAGTAGTTTTCGTTTACATCGATTATGTATACATGTTTTTGCTTGTGCGCGAAAGATAATTTCTCCTATTAATGCCATCGGTTCTCTAATCATGATTATCTCTATCAAAAAATATCCTACTTTCCACAATGTAATATCGCTTCGATAGTTAACCGCCATCGATTTCCTTTTCCCAGGTAATTCCAGCGGTCGCCATACTAAGAATATCCACGGACAATGAAAATCCTGAGAGTAATTTGGCCGATGCTCTATATCGTTCCACAGACATCGAGAACAAGTATGTTTCATTTTAATCGAAGAAACATCGATAATAAATAGTAGATTTCTCAGCAAGCAAGTTTCTCTAATTTTCGTAAAGCGCGCACACAATTTCTTAATTAGATTCACATTTCTCCCCTTACGGACAGCGTATCTATTTAATCAATATTTTTTACTTTATTTTCTATTGTATTTGCGAATATATGCAAGTCCGAAAACAAAATTAAATAAAACAATAAATATAAAAGATTAAATAAAATATGTGAATCATTATTGCTGAATGTATATTTGTATGTTTATTATAATTCATTGAAAATGAAATAAAAAACAAATCTATTAAATATAAGGAATCTCTCTGATGTATATATTTACATATATTATATATATTTATGAATTCAATTTTTTTATCTTATCTTATTATTTATACCAAGCAGATCGCCGACTTTTTATGGCGAACAAGAATTATTACCGTACAATTGGAAATCCATCGGACCTTACAGATCTGAATATAAGAACTGGTATACCGATAAGAACGAACAGAATTCAGTCAATGACGAAGAATACGAGTACAGAAAATACTTATCGAATGACGTAGACGAGCAATTATATCCACGCAGGATGCGTCGCTACAGCTTCGTCGATGGATATAGAAATGATGGTATTGAACCACTCAAAGATCTGGAAGACGAAAAACTGCCTGAAGAGAATGATGACAAAAACTTTTATAACAGGCAGTTTTTATCTGCCGACGAGTTTGAATTTTTGCCAAACGAAAAATCATCGGATTATACGTTGCTAGAACCTTCCTCCGATGACGAGAAAAATGAAAGAGAATACGAAAGAGCCTTTTCCAAGAAATATAAACATCGAAAGAAACCACCGCACCTTGAATTCCTCGATTCTGATGCATCGACGGGACTGGATAATGAAAAGAGGACAGCGATCGAACGTGATGAGGTTGATTACGAGGATGGTGGAACTGACGAAAATAATTCGGGAGAGCTCGAAGAATCCGATACTTCTTCGAAATTAAACGACATGTACACCGAAGGAGGAGTTATGCGACCTTTGAGACATAAAACTGACGCGAGTGGTGAGTTTATTATATTTAATTAAGTTGTCTAGAAAGAGCCATTTTAGCTTTTTGCTTAGCTGAAATGTATCCGACTTGTAGGGACTTTGTATGATGAGGTATATGATGACAATGACTTGAACGCATATCTGTTGAGACGAGAATTGGCTGGCTTCAAGCGCAGAGAACGTTTAGATGTTAAGAAACCTGGACCGTTATTTTCGACAAATAATTACGCATTTAAAACCCAATCTCCGCCTAGTAAGTGAACTTAATTATATATATATATATATATATATATATATATATATATATATATATATAAAGAGAAGCTTGTGATCTGTTCTATCACTTTTAAATGATTTTCATTAAATATCTTAAAGATAAACTTGATAAGACGAAGCAAATATATTTCATTCAGATAATTATGTAAATATTTTAATAGCAAAAAACATCTGTTTAAAATCATACATTATATTTTATAGTCTCCCTCGACAATGATTATTCGGCATTGGACAATCAAGATGTAAGTCTAACCAAGCCCGAAACTTCGTCCACATTATATTATAAATATTACATCAGTATTGCATTTTAGAATAACGAAATATACGCACCGTTAACGAAAAAAGAACTACGCGGTACGTACAAAACGAATGAAGACTCATCAAGAACTTATAAAAATGTTGATCTGGATTATGTTTATATCATATTCGAGCAAGAATTTCACACATGGCTCGAAGGAGGACACGTGATCGCTAAGGTAAAACAAAATAACATCGTATTAATTCAGAGTTATAAGAGAATATTTAAAAAAAGAGCATAAATAATTATAAATAACGCATTAAATTAACACGAATCTTATGCGAACTTATTCAGGTCGAAGAACTCTTAGGATTGCCTTCCGGGACTTTGACAGATATACGAGTAGGTCGCGCAGAAGTAACATTCAAGGTCAATCAGAACGACAAAAATTATAATGCTACCGATGTAGCTAATAATATTGGTACGATATTATTTATATACCGTATTTTACGAAGATTTTAAAAATATAATACAAAAAATACGACGTAAGTGTAAATTTACTTTCATTTGCATGCAATAATTAGACATATCATATTTTAGATACAATACGTGGCAAATTACAAGATGCACTAGGAATCAGAGTCATTCGAGCAGGTATAGGCAACAAGGTATATTTGTGATAGATTCATTTTCTTTTCGAAAAATAGATCGATCTTCAAATTTCACATGTATGCGATATATGCCATCAACATCACGCGTCTTTTCACAGGCTAAATTACCGGCCACTCTGGAGGTAGCCAAAGAAAGTGAGATGAACTCTAGTTTGTTCGGTGCGTTGGTGGCCGCTGGCGTCGCAGCCGCGATCGCGGCCGCGGTGGTTACGCTGATAATCGCACGTCGCCATGCAAAGTGTCGAGCAAAGCTCGCCGGACTGACCACTCCAGACCCGGAGGCGTCCAAAGACTATCAAGACTTGTGCAGGGCGAGGATGCAGGCGAAGCAACCGAGCGAAAAGATAGAATCGCCGCGTATCACTAGTCTATCACGCGAGAACGAGTCTAATAACCTGCCTTCCAATCGCTCCAGCACGTCCTCTTGGGGCGAGGAACCTACCCTCTCCAACATGGACATATCTACCGGTCACATGGTTCTTGTAAATATACAGATTAATTAAGAAATGAGAAAGAAGAGAAAGAGATAGATACATATAAAAAGTCGAAATATAATCGTATTTATAGAGTTATATGGAGGATCATTTGAAGAACAAGGATCGCCTGGATCAGGAATGGGCGGCTTTGTGTGCCTACGGAGCCGACCCATCATCCACGGAGATTGCGGAAAGCGAAGCGAACATCCAACAGAATCGTCCCGGCGCGGCACTTCCCTACGATCATTCTCGGGTAGTTCTGAACGATCTTGCGAACGCCAATAACTCCGACTACATAAACGCTTCCACAATCGTAAGTAATTCCTGTGATGTTATTTTTTATTCGGTCATTTCTTCATTATCTCCTATCCTCCTGAAGCTTGCTAAAGTCTTTTCTTTTCTTTTTCGAAGCTAAATTTATCGTAATTGTATTTCAAATAATTCGCGAGAGTCCGAAAAATGATAGAAATATAAGTATCGTTCTTTTTTATAATTCTAAAGGCATGTATATAGCAAATGGATTAATGTTATAAAAAAATCAAGTGTAGTATTTTACAAATCAGAATTCAGGAGGATGTCATATTATTTCAATACGCGAGAATTTCAATAGGTTTGACTTACAAAAAGAAGAGACTTCTGATTATTTCAATATGTGAAAACTGCTAGGTAATTTGTAAAATAAAATAAGTAATTTTCGTTTTCACGCGATAACACATTGCTGAAATACATACGACATTCGATTTTCCGGCCGTCGCATCGCAATATATGTAGAAGTCGGTAAGTCACAGTCGAGATGGGCATGTCAAATTGATCGTTTATCGCAAAGTCGCAATTCACGGCGCAATTTGTCAGGCTAATGCTTGCGGTAGACATCTTTTTTTTAATGCATCATAATCGTAACGCAGTGAACTCTAGCATGTTTCTTATTGATAAGCAAGCCTTATATATTTTTCAATTGCACAGTTGGCGATGTATGGCCGTATTTATTGTTCACCCGATATATCCCCGTGTCGTAAATGGAAAATCCGAACAACAGAAATGGAAAGCGATGATAAAATGGGAACTTAATTGGAATTGTATCATTCAATCGGCTCTTCTGCTGTGAAAACATACAGGGTATTGCACAAGTAACCCTGTTTTAAATCAAAGAAAAATAAGATTATAAGACATCGAGTACGAAATTGATCAATTAGATTGATCGAAGTTTTCACGACACAAAATCACGTATTAAAAAAAAAAGAATGAATTTTTCGATTAATCTAATATATCGTTTACGATACGAAGTGTTTATCGGATGTTGTTCTCGCCGTGATAATAATATCATAATTTGTTTTCTTGCAGACGGATCACGATCCCCGGAATCCGGCTTATATAGCTACGCAAGGGCCGCTACCACAGACCACGGCTGATTTCTGGCAATTGGTTTGGGAACAAGGCAGCGTAGTAATCGTGATGCTGACGCGACTCACCGAAGAAGGTCGCGCCATGTGTCACCGTTATTGGCCCGAGGAGGGATCGGAACTCTATCACATCTACGAGGTGCATCTGGTATCGGAGCATTTCTGGTGCGACGATTACCTGGTGCGCTCCTTCTATCTCAAAAATCTACGCACCTGTGAGACACGTACCGTCACGCAATTCCACTTCCTGTCCTGGCCGGAGAACAGTGTACCGTATTCCACGAAGGCTTTGCTCGAATTCCGCAGGTCAGTATCGATCTCGTTGTCTATTATTATTAAAAAATTTTTATTTTATTATTATGCAATTTATTATGTAAATTATGTATTACATATAGATTATTATATATTATTAAGAATTTATTGTAATTACTAATTTATTAACAATACTTATAACATTGACGATACAAGAGAAAAAGGGAGAAAAAGGAAATAAAGATAATTTTTATTATAAAGATATTTTATATTTTAATCTTTTTGTCATTGTAGGAAAGTTAATAAATCATATCGTGGAAGATCATGTCCGATAGTCGTGCATTGCAGGTGAGTGTAATAGTTGTAATTTATGTCCAAAATTAATCTTGTTAGCGATCTATATACTCTTATATGTGATCCTTCTACAGCGATGGAGCTGGACGAACTGGTACTTACTGCTTGATCGACATGGTCCTAAATCGCATGACAAAGGGAGCGAAGGAGATTGATATCGCCGCTACTCTCGAGCACATTAGGGATCAAAGGCCCGATATGGTTGCTACGAAACAACAATTCGAGTTCGTTCTGATGGCAGTGGCGGAGGAGGTACACGCGATTCTCAAGGCTTTGCCGGTACCGCCTAGCGAGAAATCCGCCACGGCAAGCGGTTCTTCACCTGCGAAATCGGAACAGTGAAACTAACGCTGGCAAATCAACCCTAAACAGTATCAAGAAATCTGGACGGTTTCTATTTTATTCTATTGGACTTAACAAGAATTTCATTGTTTCCTTATTCATTTTTTTACGAATAAAATTGAAAAGAGTCTATTTTTTTTTAATAATTTTTGAAACTGATACTTTCACGATTCAATACCGATATTGATAAAAAGTCCAGATAGATTAAACAATTATGCCTGCCAGCTATTTTGTACTATTCAGGGTTAAAATTACAATCGAGATGCAAAAGGTAAGAAGTATCTACTATTGCATTTATTTTGATGTGTCACGTGGAAAGCCAAGTACTTTTACTAGCTGTTTACTACGATGTACCCTATTAAGGAGTAAAGACAATTCAGTTTTTTTTTCGGTTTAGAATTTTCTACACGCCCGGTACTTCCCGATTAATGCACCTCTTCGCGTGTCATTAGTTTTAGAGTGCACTAAAACGTCGCGAGCTTCTTCTTTCGTACTCCGACTACTGCTTCTCCGAAGCGCGAGAAAAGAAATGATAGTCAAGTCGACTTGAATTCCTAGAGCACAAGAAATATATAAACGTATAACCAAAGTTTGCAGTTTTAAGTTAAGTGCAATGTATAAAGAGGAAAGTAAGAGCAAGAGACTTGAAGAAATGCATTTATGTTGAGCCAATCTAAAATGTGATGCATTATTTTTTTTCTTATCTACTCTGTAAGATGACCGTTGACACCGTTTTATTATCATCGCGTACATCCCTTTCTGCTCATTCAGATGCGGCCTATTTCAAGGATTAAGTACCTGTAGAGAACAGATAAACAGACAAACGCAGAGACCGACATAGATCGGGATACGGTTTGCCAGAGGCAACGTATAATATATCAACGACTGAACTCTATTACTGTGCGATCGATCGGTGATACAACGGAACATTTTATACTAGTAGAATCTAATCTAGCATTTTGTTTAGCGTTAAACGCGGCCATTTAAAATCGCGGAGCTTTATTCATTTGATATAAAGGATTGCACGCAGTATTAATAATTGAATTTAATGAGATCAAACTAGCTCTAGTTAACATTAAATATGCAACATAAATACAGGTCAGGATTTTCATTGTCCGTCGACAAAATGTATTATCTTTTGTAGACAACAGGATTTTCTGTAGAACATCTATAAAATCGAGAAATTGTATTAATTTTAATAATTTAAATATATCATATCGACTCAGTATAATCGTGATGAATTGATTTTATTTGTAATCGCGAAACACATTTGTATAACATTCTATTCTTGCGTGTACATATAATTTATTACACTCAATTGAATTGCATTAACGTGCCCTTCGACTAACGTGCTTTAAAATAGCTTTAAAATTTTGGATGAATCTTTTGACCCAGAGAAAGAATCGATAAATAATAATCAACATAAACCAATCAGCTAAGTCAATTGTGTAATACCAAAATATACATACGTGAGCACAAATCTATTTTAATGCAGCAAATCGAAACAATACCAGAAGGTTTTGTTATCGTCTTTATAAAAAAAAATCTAATATATTCTACATATTTATTTTGTATAGAGACGAATTTTTCTGATTATTCGTCAATATCAAGCTTTGTTATATCGTAGAGTTATCAAGAACATGTTTAAAATACGTGTGAATGATCGATCGGACAGCTACAAATTATTACATTAATCCGTGCAAGAAGTCCGGATATAATTGTACAATTTAAGTAACATTTTACTTTTCGAAATTGTAAGAAAATTGGCTTGATGTCTTAAAATATTATGTATGCGCGATTATTTCGCTGGAGAATTATATATAGCTTAATGAACGATATTAAATGGTGCAGATTATATACGTAAATATATAATCCACGCTTGGGATATCCAGGTGTATTATATCAAGGTTTAGTACTATATTTAACGATTCGAAACTTGCATTATATTGCAAGTCTTTTAACATGATACGATTGTTTTATTGTTTTTCCCGCAAATATATTCTGTACACGTACACACATATCTATTTAATAATGCATCTATTTATTAACTCGCCGAAAACTAATAATTCTTGAGAAAGTAAGAGACGGGGGACAGTCTATCTTGATTTAAATATCTTTAAACGATGTCGCGAGAAATTGAAATCGAAGCTGATGTCGATTAAGGATTAAAGTTTCGCGAGCGCCTATGAAATTAATTAATTAATAACATTGTATTATTTTTGAGAGGATTTCGGAAGGAGCACTGATGTACCTTGAAACTGTGTCAAACTTCGCTTGATCACTGCAACTAAGTTTGATTAGCCTTCTTTAGTACCGACTCATAAAACAGATTCTATATTTTTATGTAAAGGGATGAATCTATATATTAAAAAAAAATGAAATAATATAGTTATATATATAAATCTATACTATGTTACCCCCAAAATATAATACTATATACATGTTGTAAAATAATAAATCGATCTATGTTCAAGCCATGACCGCATTTACACTTCCCTCCATCTCTTAATACGTATATTTTATATCTAATTGCAATTATTTTATGATTAATATTTAGTTTTCTAAAATTTTACTAAGGAAGGAAATATAATAAAATACATGTGTGTGTGTGTGTGTGCGTATATAATAATGAAAAATATGAAATATAATCAAACTTTCTTATTTTAAAATTTAAAGTATTCTCTTATATTATGAATTTTTTTTATTTCCATTCTTTCTCAAGAAACCTATTATCTGATTAATGATATATAATATGCATTGCTTTGCAATCAATATTCAATGTGCATATATTCATATTTACGAGTGACTTAATAGAAATTTAAATGATGATATATCAGATTTTATTTCGCCGATATGTGCTTGATAGTGTCTCAGGAAATTCTGGATCCCAAAATCCTTTAAAAAAAAAAAAAAAACAAATCATATATTTTATATAATGTATCATGGAAGTAATAAGAAACATATTAAATGTGTACCTTCTGGTGTATTCGGTCTCTCGTATTTATGTCGATGCCGCGAGCACTGATTCTTTCGCTTCTGCAATTCATCCTTTGATAGCAACAAATTCTTGTAATACTAAAAAATTACATACAGAAATTAATATTTCTTCATAAAGAAAAGTATTTGTTTCTTGTGTACATATTTTAATCATGTTAATTTACTTCTTCACATTCCCAACAATCCCAGCCATTCAGCCTTGCTCTGTCAGCTTTGCATCGCATGTTAATCTGCTCTGAATTCTCCTTTTTTGTTGGCAATCTGCAAATAATATTTTTATTATTACATATTATATAATATGTAAGAAAAACTTATGTTACCAATTAAATAATATTTACACGTCAAACTTAGCTAATAGTGCTTTTTTCCCAGGTGGCTTGTTCTCTATATCATACAAACTGAAATCATCCGTATCATTTTTGTTTATAGCTAGCTTGGCAGATAGACAAAAGTTCTCATCTTCATAGATAAAGGCATTTTTCTTTTCAGCAATATTTTGTACTTTTATTATCGATTCATCTTCCTTTTTAATTTGAACATTGGTTTCATTACACATTTTTATTGGTGAAAGATTACTTACATTACTTTTATCTTTCCGTGTATTAACTACAGTATTAGATGTGTTTCCAATCAATTTCGGGTTATCATTTATTTCTATAAGAGTATGTTCAGGTGAAGAACATAATGCAAAATCTATAGCATCTATCATTATCTTTGGTGCAATGCTAGAAACAGGATTGTGACATTTATATTTACTTGAAGAATTTTTTATTGCAGAAGTTTTTCTCTTGAGTCTTAAACGGTGCGTAATCTTATTGTTAAATGTGATGTTTCTTTGTGTAGGGCTAATCTCTATTATATCCTCAAAAGTTTCATTAGTATCTGCTACATTATTTTTCATAATCTTAGAAGTGATATTTTTCTGTGTAGGACTGATCTTTGTTACATCATCAAAAATCTCATTGGTATCTGTGATATTATTTTCTGTAGCTATAAATGCTTTTATTACAGAAATGTCTTCTATAGATTTTTGTTCTATTTTGGACAATATACTGTCTGGCTTATGTTTCTGTACATTTAGTGGTTCTGTCTCTTCGTTACACTTGATTGGATGAAATACAAGTCGAGATTGCTTTAATCTTCTTCCATCCGGCAAAAATGTAGTTTCCACATGCTGTGATGTACTAATCTCTAATTTCTTATTATATTTTGAAGGAACCTTTTTAGAGCTACTATGTATGTTCATGTCTGACATTAAATTATTATATATCGATGCTGGTTTAGGCGAACGTGCGAACTTCTTTACGGAAATACTGCCAATTCTTGGACACTTTCTGGAGAATACTGGGCTCTTTGATGGGCTTTCATTGTCGGTATCTTCACACGAAGATTCTTTCGAACATAGAGAAGAATCAGCTTCAATATTAGATTTAAAATTAACAGAGTCTACATTTAGTGTATCTAATTCCAACAATGAAGTCTTTTCTTCTTGTGCGATAATGTCATCGTTCAACTGTCTTTGAGGCGTTAATAGTTCGTCTTTTATTTCTGTGCAAGGGTTATCAGTCACTTGGAATGAAGAGTGTCTACAAAACATTGATAATTATCTGTGAATTATAATTTTTTTTATTCGTGAGATTATATAAATAAGATTATATATAAAAACCTACACATTGCATTGTTCATATTTCTCTTGCAACTTTATGTATTTTTCCCATAAATCTACAAAAAGGTGAAAAAAGAATCATTAAACAAATTATTTATATCAACATAATAATCTGCTAATGCAATTCAAATATTTAAATTTTCGCGCGCTTAATTCTTAGTAACTTTAGCTAGAAAGTGCGGATTATTATTTGAACTAGAGCTGTTTAGTAATTTAGTTCAGATATTTCAAACAATCGACTACAGAGGGCGACAAAATTTAGCGCTATTTTTACACTTAGTTTCTTCCATTATTTTCAGAGGGCGTAAATATCTGTATGAAAGTAAAGTCAGTTACTTTATATGAAAGTTTTCCAAAGTATGTCAAAACAATTTATAACTCAAAAATTTACAAATTCAACGTTTTGAAAAATATGCACGAATTTATATGAGACGTTGCAAAAATAACACATATATATAATAATTGCTAATTTTTAATTCGTACTTTCTTTGTCTCTCTGTCTTTCTTTCTCTCACAATATTTAATTTAAAGAAAAAGCAAGATTGGAGCATTATGTTTATACTCACTTTGATACTGTTGGAATGCTTCCTGTAAAATTCCCATGTAATTTTCTATCGCTTTTCTGGCAACTTCATCATGTATGAGACAGTTAAATTGTAAAAATGTTGACATTATCGGAGTACGTTTTGAAGCAACAAGTATCTTTCTTAGTTTCTTCAACCAATGTTTGCTAATTAAATCTTTTCGATAAATTATCCGAATAAAATGTGCACTTTTGTATGTTCACTAATTTTAATTACACGATCTTCAGCATTTATTTATTTACATGTATCACACATCTATGCATTCGATACAATCCGCCATAATAGTTATCGTACAAACTTACATGTGACGAAAAGAAAACTCAGGGACGTCCCAAAAACTCCAAAGGTCCCATGGGGAATTTTAAGAATTTGATATTTTTTAACTATATAGAAATATCTCTAATAGAGGTGTATCTAACAATCATAAAAGTATCTATACAGCTCTAATCTCATTAAATTTTATTTAAAAAAATATTATTTCATTAATTATTAAATTTCACATTTCAAAAGAAAAAAAATATTTTTTTGCATATATGTTTAATATTATATATATGTTTCAATTTGAGGCTTAAGACATTTTTCTATCGATATCTTTTTATTGTATATCCTTAGCATATAAGTATGTACATTATACACCGTAAATATGTTTATAATAAATAAGCGCTAGCGTCTTATATAAAAAATCTTAAGCAATAAATAAATATTCACATTTTTTTTTCTTAGCGTTACCATTTTGTTACGCTAATTTATAATCAACCAGCGTTCCTGCCAGCACATTTTGCTTAACTTTTCTTGAAAATAAAACTCTCTCTCTTTTTCTCTTATTTGTAAAATTACAATAAAACCAGAATGCAAATCCTTAAGATCTCGCGCTTCGAGCATCACAAACAAAAGTCTTTTCTCTTTCATCAGAGAATGAGAACAAGCGTCAGGAAAAATCGAGCTTCATTTGAGAAATTTCTACATTCGTAATATATATATATATATATATATATATATATATATATATATATATATATATTTATATATGTATGTATATATAGATGTAATGTATGTATATTTATATACATATGTGTATCACAGATCTTTCATATGATGCGGGAAAGAAATGTCAGAGAATATCGTTCAGAGCCGTGACCGATCGAATGATGACTTTGAGAAACAATCGTATCGTATCGTTAGTAATTCAAAGTGTGCACTATAACGATTATAATACCATTGTCACATTTGGGGAGAAAACTTGTACATTCTAATTAAATATTTGATCGCGTATCATACAATTATACACTGAGTGTGCACTTATAATTAACGGAGTGATGATAACGAAGGCTATAAACAGATTGATGATATGAATGATATCATATCTTTCTTTCTTTCTTTCTTCTCTTTTTTGCTCTTCCTATCGCTAGTATAATTTAAAAAATAGCGATATATTTATATAGATTTCTCTCTTTTTCATCCCTTCCAATTTTGCACGCACATACGCAGGTTCCGTACCGCATGACTTCGCACAAATCATTACGAGCTGAATACGGATTGCTGCGAGGAAGTCGAGGGCAGAAAAAGATTCTGCGCTTTGACTACACAGGTGGTTTACCTGGTGGTAATCGGCCAATTGCAGCGGCGGAGCTGGCGGGATTGTAGACGTTATCCAGACCGTAATATGATATGAGTGCCGACAAAGCATTTCGAACCCCGGCAGTGGCCAGCTGCGACCACCTCCCATGGGAGCTTACGGCATCGTCGCCGGCGTACACTGCGTGCGCGTCGAAATTACCTGGCCCGTGCGGCGCGTTCGTATCTGCAAGAAAATACGAGTGCAATAATAACGCGAGAGATGTAGGATATAGGATTATCTCGTGTCACGAACCTAAGAGAGGCGGATTTAGTATGGGAAGATGTGGATCCAGTTGCCCGCCCGGTCGAGCGTTTGCAGCGAGACGAAGCTCAGCACGTAGATCGCCCAATAATTGCACCACCTTTGGATCACACTGCAAATATATAAATAAATAAATAAATATATATATATAAATTATATATGTAATAAATATTTAAAATTGTAAAATCTTTTATTTTTAAAAATATATTTTATATTATTGAGAAATATTTTTTTATAATAAAAATTGATTAAAGTTCCTGATGTTCATTATAGTCGTTATAATGATGGTCGTGAAGCGAGAAACTACAGGAATTCTTTCACTTTTTTTTGGGAAAAAAATTTATTTACTATATTTATCATAAGACAAAAATTTATATAATTTTTTTCTGTTTATGTCACAATACAATATGACTATATTTAAAAAAGGCGGGAATTTTAAAACTATATTAAAATAAAATAAATATCTTTATATAGATACCTCAGTCTGGTCCGATCGAAGCGACAGAAGATCGTCAACACGAATTGGCTTTCCCTGATTTAAGGAATTCGTGAGAATCGTCAGCCTCCGGGCAAGATTACCTTCGGTACACATTTCTATTGATGGTTGATTATCTCCCTTCAGATTCGATTGCGATTTAACAGGTGGTGAATTGTTAAAATAGTACGACGGTGTAGACACTATGTACGGTCCGCTTTGATTAAACAAATTATCTTCACCGTAATGACCTTCCGCACCGAGTCTGCTCGGATGTGAATTATAGCCTGCTTCCATTTTCAGTCGCTTAGAGGACCTGTAACAGAGTCACAGGGCAAACATTAAAATTCAATAAAAATACAATAAAAATAGACAAAAGATAAATTATATAAACAAGAGGTAAATTATAATAAGAGATAAATTATTCTCCCCAACATGTATTTATATAGAATGAATGCGATGATATTAATTTATTTAGAAAAGTCACATGAAATACATTACGAGATTCAGTGATAAAAATCCAGTGATAATATAATATTCATTTTTTAATTTTAAATTGTAAAATGTATACACAAATTCTTACAGAAATTTTATGAATATTCGATTGCATTATTGACTATAATCAAATATTAAATTATTTTAATAATATAACAATAATAATAATATGAATAAATATGAAGATCATGCAATTAACAAGCTGTATAAACGTATCTTAAAATAAGCCAATGCAATAGAATTACAAATACATGCACATAACATATTAGCAGAAATATAATCATGTAATATTTTTGTTATTATTTATTGCATAAAGCAACAATTGCAAGGCGCAAGTAGTTCTTTTTCATTTAATGCATTACTACAAATAGATTTTATGTTATGTAAAACAGTATCATAAAGCAATTTGATTATTATTCGGTTAGCTAAGCTTAAGCACACATGAAAGTGGTTATATGATTCATGTACTTGATAGACATGATAATAATAAGATTGGACACTCTGGGCGTGAACACGTATTTAAGATTTGGAACTTTCATTACCTATTATATATTCTTATAAGTGTTACAAAATTTGTCCATCTATTATTCAGCCACAATATTACATTATCTCCTGAAACATAATTTTCTCCTATTAGACATTATGCCAATTATCTTGTACCTATAAATAATTCTGGATCCAAAATCTTATATGTCATTTTCTCTACATATTCCAATATAAATCATAACACAAACTATATTGTGCGTGCGTGCGTGTGTGTGTGTAAATATTATATATAAATAAATAAATATATATATATATATATATATATATATATATATATACATATGTGTGTGTGTGTGTGTCTATTTATAAATTCTTATTTTACATTCTTATATAAATTTTTCTTACATAATTATAAAATATTATCTTGTGGAATATTTATGATATTAATTAAATTATTGGATTAGTTATATCTTATATTTTGGAACAGCATATAATGAAACAGTATCCATCAATAATATAATTAAACATATAACTTTTATCTATTACATACATCGTACAGACAAATAATTTAACAAGTTTTTAAATTATACTATTTAAGAGAGAAAAAAAGAGAGTAATGGAAAATATCAATATATATTAAATATAACAGCTTGATTATTATAATTTCAACTATTGTGTGTTTCCTGAGCATAACATTTTATACTACATGTTAACAATATATTAAATGATTAATCATAGAATAATTATGTATTTTACAAGCGATTATTATCATTTTATATCTTTATCATACAATATTTAATAAAAGTTATATATAAAAACATGTTACGTTTTAAAACATTGTATTTTCCAAAGCATTTTACATCATATTTATAAAAAAAATATGTATATCATATGTACAAACATTATTATGATATAATTCATATTAATATATTTTGAAATGCAATCTATTACAATGTAGATTTCTTCATAAACAATATAACATAAAAGACCAATTTTTATAAGATCAGTCTTTTTATTAATTTTTAATATATGTAGTATATGTTTCTCTCTAAGATATATAAATTTGTAATGTGCAGATTATCTTATTATATTATGGTCTATTGATGCATTAAAAGCATTGCAAATTATATCAGAATTGAGAGATTTTACTACTTCTCACATAAATTCCTTCAAATCTCTGACAAATATATGTCCTTTTCATACTCTTTCTTTTAAGAGAGGCAGGGAAGGATTTACATTGTTTGATTTTTCAACTTTATTGTCATATCAAGTGTATGAAATATCAAGAAACATCATACACTTTTTTTCTATACGAAATATGTAATAATTTTGCTATATCATGCTCTTTTCCTGTATATTATATATTATTAAAAGATAGTTTTAATAATATAAAAAAGCTCGAAAGCATTTATATCGTGCAGAAAAATGTGTATAAGAATGTGTGTGTACATATGTATATGTAATAGTACATTATATAAATACACATATACACATTAATATATATTCTCTGCTTGAATTCTGCCTATGAAAAAGTTTAATTTATCAATTCAAATATCATAGAATAGATGATCTTAATTTCATATTTTTTATATGCCACATTTAAATTGTTATTATTGTGTAATTAATTCATTTTTAAAAACATGATTCAGTACTTATACATACATATTAAAAAAAATGAAATAGAGATATATTCATACATAATAAATGGCGGAAAAAATTATAAAAGTATCAGAATATTTGTGGAACAAGTAGAAATAATAACATATATTTTGTGATTATTTTTTTACATGTGTGAATCAGACAATGAATGCTGATAAATAAGCATCGTCCAAGATAATTGCCTGCAAATATATGTTGCTTGCATTGGATTACTTCTTTGGAAAAGTACTACTAGCTAATTCCAACATAAAAATAAAGAGACACATCAGAACTAAAAAATTAAATATAATAAAATATTTTAATAGCATAAAGATTCAGTAGAGCAATTGTCCATAGAGACATTTAGGCAAATGTCTTTGGACGCCTTATATATATTACATTTTTTTACACAATATGCTATTACATTAGAAAAGATCCAAAGATTAAATTTTATCCTAAAAA